ACACCCGTGTCCTGACTCCGTTCCACCAGTGCCCAGCAGAGGGAGCCCCGGCTCTGACTCTGAATTGGAGGGGGCGGGGCCTGAAGTGAGCGCCTACTCCCTCAGCCACCTGGTGGGGCTTCAGACCAACTTCGTCACCAGGTGCAGAAACACGTGTCTGTCAGACCCACGTTTATTCTTTAGAATATTTCTATTGTTGAATTATTAATCTTAATTTTATGAGTTTTATTATATTAATGTGTGCTTAACAGGAAAAAAAATCACAAAAATAAACTATTGAGTTTTTAATATTTATTGAGTGTTTATAAAAAAGCATAAAAGTTTTCAACATTGAATGGTTTTTGGTGTACGTAGTCTAAAAAAGAACATCAGACATAAATGCCTATATAAACTACACTGAAAATACCAACAGCACTCTACAAAAATATCTTCACTTCAAGGATCACACCTAGGGCAGTCTGCACACGCGACAATAGCATGTCCCATACATATGCATTGCTTACTCTGACAGCAGGTTTCTTTTGCTTTCCTGACCTTTTTGCAGGACATACTTGACATCTCAGAGGTCTTCCTGATTTGTCAGGAGATTCTCATTGTAGTATACAGTATGTAGTTAACAGGAACATAAAATACCAATAAAACAAATTATCAAAATCTTAATAAGTGTTGTGCGATTAGAATAGACATCAGCACTGTAACATCAGCTGTTTATTTGCTTATACAACCTAAAAGATAGTGTCAGAAATAAAAACCTATGTGAACTACAGTGTAAACACAAACAAAAGTCTACCACAGAAATAAGTTTTGCTTCAACTGTCACACCCAAGGCATCTTTGGGCACGACAGCTGCACAGTCCGTGCACAAGCCCTGCTTACACTGATAGTGCGTAAGTCTTGCTTTTCCCTACTTTCTTGTAGGCACAGTCGGCATCTTTCTTGCTTTCACGTCGTAGTCGGTCTTTGTGATGTTGTGCCTGCCTTTTCACCTGTCAGCTCACCAGTGTGTTCCACAAGATTTTTGCATAGTTTCCTGGGCAGAAACATTTTGTTTTTCCTCTGCTGTAAATGATTTCTTATGAGCTCGAGTTCCAATCCGCTAAGAAAATTTCTTTGTAATATTTTTCACTTATTATTTTCTTTGTAACCTATCAAACATGCCACACATGTTTAGGGTTGAGTAAAATACAGGCCAATGCTTCGTGTTTCAAATGACACCATAGTTGCTGCATAACTCATCAACAACATCTACTCCACGTTTGGTTTTATTGTTGAAAGTTTTCATCTCAGGCTTCTGTGTTGTTGAGATTTCCCTATCAATATTTCCATCAGGGTGAAATGTTGACATCATCCATACCAGTTTGCTTTTTTCTTTGCCTTTATGAGGCCAATGTTATATCTTCTGAAATTCAAAGGTTGAACTATACAATTCTCTGTTTGATGAATGTATTTATTTATTAATTTTTGTCTTTTTGAGACAGGGTCTCGCTATACAGTTCAGGCTGGCCTTGAGCTCACTTTGTAGCCCAGGCTGAGCTTAAACTCAGAACGATCCTCCTGCCTCAGCCTCCTGAATGCTGGGATTATAGGCATGCCCAGCACAATCCTCTGTTTTGAAATTGCAACATTTCATTTGGAATTCTGCTTTGCTCCTGTGCACAGTTCCTGAGCTGGTCAACTTGTGCTCAGTTAGCAAATGTAACATCACTTGGAAACCGGTAGACCAGTTGTCCAGTGTCGCATTCTGGGTCAGTTTTGGGGATGGGAGCAGTAAGTCTGTTCAAAATGTCATTTGGTTTATTACTACACGAACAGGGACCTGATGGCTGAGTTCCAGCATAAATGTCTAATTGAAAGCATAACAGATCTTCATATCTCCAAGGGCATACATACATTTTTATGCCATCTTTTGACCCATCCCTTTTCCATAAGTTCTTTACTTATGCAATCACCATGAGAAATCTGTGCTAAGTACAGGAGACCTATGAAGACTTTCAGTTCAGCTAGTGAGGTGTCATTGCACTTTTGAACATGGTTGTTGGTGTGTACAGAAGGTTTTAGTTGCACTTCAGCCTTTGTGTGTTTCACAGCATCTTGTAGCATTTCCTCTGTTACAATTTCCAACATTAATGGCAGTGCTGGCATTCTGTCCAATACATTTCACCCCCACCAAGACCCTCACTACGTTTGCAGATCTAGTTCTAACATTGGAGCTTTCCATCTGGTTGCATGGCCATTTCACTGTGTCTTGACTAGTCAGATATGCACTCACATTGCTGCCATCTGAAGCAAAGGGGTCTGCATTCCCTGTGTCTGCATCAGTTGGTTTTTACTCCATTTCACTGTGAGAAACTTTGGCTCACATGGCCGATGTCAAAGTCATCATTATCATACACCCACACCACTCTTTTATTATGATCATCTTCATCATTCATGCATGAGTTACCTGATTCACTTTTGACCTCCTCTCACACTTGCAAATCTAGTTTTTCATGTACCATTGTACTGAATTGGACTACTTCTACCAAAGAAGGAAAATTTTTTGAAAACAAATCCTGGAGTGGTGTGGGTCTATTAGACCCTTTGTGATGCTTGGGTAAATATAAGTAAAACCAGTCAGATTGCAATAAAAGTGGGTCCAAATCCCATTTTGCCACTTTGCACACATGCACACTCCTTGCAATTCATCATACCAAGTAAGTAAACACATAGATTGCTTTCTGTATCCCTCAGGGAAAGGTACTGAGATGCACAGCCAGCTGCTATAATACTGAAGTACAAATTTACAGTAGCAAAGTAATGGATGGGTCCACTGTACCAGGTTTGTTCCCTGAGGATAAGCGGGGGCTGAGTTTCATTGGTTTTAACACAGGCAACGAATGAATTGACTTCAGGACAGAACTTTCTTCAGGAAAGCTCTGTTTCACTTGTAAAAAAGCTTAATGTGACCAGAGCCTAGGGATTCACCCAGGAAAGGGATAGATGCTCCTCTCTGTGACCCCAGGTTACAGTGTGGACACGGGACATACACTCACCTGAGTGCAGTCTCCATGTGATTGCAACCCGTTATTGAACAAATAGAGAACTCTGCCCCTTGAGATTGCAAGACAGATATTTATTTAGCCATCAGATGTGCAAAGGTTGTTTACTATAAGGTGATCCAAGTTTAAAGACAAAATAAATAAGGATCCAGAGAATGAAATAATTTCCTGGACCAAAGAGAACCATGAAGTTGAGTTGGCAATATTGTAGCCTCAGGTGAAATCAGCAACCCAGACTGAGTGTGTGTGTGTATGCCTTTGTGAGTGTGTGTGTGTGTGTGTGTGCTTGAGTGTGTGAGAATAAACTACAATGTTCCAGTTAGTTATTCAAAGGACTACCCAACGACAGGTAGAAGTTTCCCTGTCACACATGCTGTTATTGTACTCGACAAGTTAGGAAGCTACATTTTAAAAATACAGTGGTGCCTCAGTTCATGAACTTAGTTTATTTTATGATTTTGGAGAAGATAGCTGTGTTTGTGTTTGTGTGGGGAAGATGGCCTTGGTCGTGTTTGTCACCCGATGGGGACTTTGCAAACAGAAGCATTCGTGAACCTAGGTAATACTGTACTGTTTTTTTTTTTTGCCTTATTATCCAAGTCCAGCAAAATACAGGGAAAATTGTAAAGAAGTGTATAAAATCACAAGGTTACTAACTGAGAGATTGCAAATTTATACCTGGCTTTAAAGTTAATTTATGTAGCATTTTAAATGGGTATTTATTTTTGTCTTTTCTTTTCTTAAAAATTCCAGATTCTCGGGCTGAGGAGATAGCTCAGCAGCTCAAGTCCCCGACTAGCAAGTGCAAGGTCATGAGTTCGATTCCCAGTTCAAAAAAAGAAAAATTCCAGATTCTCCTTAATGAAAATTTAAAAAATCACTGTAACTGGGATAATTCCAAAGTAGTGCTATTTTAAAAACATATCTTAGACTGTGGAGGAAAACCCCCTGCTGATGAGAGAGAACGTTCATGTTCAACATTACACCTTCGGCATCATTCTGTCGTCAGGTCCAAATTGTGCCTTCCATCCACAATTTGATTTGTTCCTAGGCAAGGAATCATGTCTATTTCAGGAGGCTTGATCTACTTGCAGGCATCCTGGTGCCTGGCACACGGTAAAGCTTTAATAATTACAAACCTGCAAGTTGTAAATAAGCGAACATTTGGAGGGTTTACTTCTACAGAACTGAGTCATTGTGGGTGCTTGGGACAGCCAGGCTGGGAATGCGCTGAGCGGAGAGCGGGGACTTGGAGGTGCCAGAATGTGTCTCTGGGTGGATCAACAGGCATTTGTGGAGCCCCAGCTCTGTGCAGAAACTTGGCTCTCAGGACAGGAAGAACAGTTTTTGCCAGGGTTTCCTGAATCTGGGAGGTGTTCTTTTCGAAAGCTTGGTTGTGATCTGGCTGCCTCCAGCAGCCGGGCAGGGACCCATTAGCATCAAGGCCTTTGCTGTCTCCCGCCAACCAAGGGCACCCCAGGACCTGTGACAGACGAGAACGCACCTTCTCTGGGTTAGTCACCCTGAGTAATTCCAAGTCTCCGCAGTGGAGATGGCAATTGCATAGAAAACTTCTTTAACATCCTCTCAGGCTCTAAAGGAAGAAGAATCATCATTTGTGGGAAGGAAGCTAGCAAGATTTCATTTTGCAAATGATTGTGACATAGCAGTGACTATGACAGGCCTCATAAAGTGGGGTAGGGTTGTGACAAAGGAGGCCTGTTGGAGCTGAGCTCGGCCCGAGCAGTGCACGCTTCCGGGTTTCATTCTCTAGAACGCAGTGAAAGGAACACCTGTTTTACTGACTGCTGATGCTTTAAATAGATGGAGATTTTAACTCCTGAGAAGGGTAATCACATTCTAAAGTTAGAGTCAGAGGTGCACGGCGCTGTGGGAGGCGGACACCTAGTTCAGTTTCAGGCCTGTGATTGGCCCCCAAGGCGAGCGAGGTGAGTGACCAGGTGTGCGTGTGACTTGGAGTAGATGCTACAGTTTTTCCCTCCCACACAAGTTCATATTCCGGTTTAGAGGGTGGGCACTGGGGTCTTCCTGCTCCTTCCTGAGAGCAGAGCTCCCTGTCCAGAGAGGGGCCATAGGGCCACCGCAGGGCACTGCGTTTCTAGTTCCAGGAGGGCTAGGGTGGCACCCAGGCTGGCTTCGCTCAGGGAAGGCAGAGCTTTCTTGGGGCCCTCCGCCACCCTCTGTGACAGCTAAATGCAGGCTTAGTGCTGATGTCAGAGACAGAACACTGATCATCACAGCCCACGGACAAGCGGGAGCGCACGGCACCCACCGAGATAACCGCAAAGCAGGCCCTGGGAGACCTGGCCTCGGCAGAGTTAAATTCACGGAGCTGCATATTTGTTTTCTTATCTCTTGCAGTTTAAAATAACAAGTTGATTTTAATTAAATCTCAACATAAAAACAAGTTAGAATCCTATGTGCCAGGGATGAGCTTTCTAATGTCGAATTCTCAATGAAAGAACTGAGTAAGGACTAAGGTACCAAGATGACGCCCAGCAGGGGAGTTAACCCGCGTGGGCCGGGCTGCGCTGTTCCTCACCAGGTGACCCTGCCGAAGGGGACGGTGCCGAGTTCTCCAGGCGCAGCCCGTCCCTCCCCAGCCCGGCCACCGGCACGGGGCAGTCAGGAAGCCCGGAGCCTCCCGCGCCCAGCCGCTGGCCTGGGATCTGAGTGCGCTGTGCGGGAGTGTTGGGGTGGGACGAGGCTGGCTGCATGCGGAGGGCGGCGGGGCCAGTCAGAGTGTCCGAGGACCAGCGGCAGTTCCTGTCCGCCTCCCTGCTCCTCGGCAAGGCAGACTCAGCCGAGTTTGAGTACGGGACTCTCTCAGCTGGCACGAGTGGTTAATGGGCAGAACGTTTGCTTTCCCCCCATCGTTTCTCTGAAAGCAATGGCTGTGCTGGGTAAGAGCACGATGAAACAACAAGGGTGAACAAATACTTAGGATGGTTCGCAAGCACCGAGCAGGCCTCGCGGAGCAGCCTCTTTCACCTTCTCTTCTTTCTAAAAGGTTGTCCAAGTCCTGGGGTTTGCCGCAAAGCGGGGCTCGTCCCGTTCACTCGTGTTGCGGTGTCCGGGTTACATGTGCCTCTCTCGGGCGGTGTTTGGAGAGGGGTGCGGCATTCAGGGAAAGCCCCCGACTTCCGAGGGCCCCCTCACTCCGGTGAGTCAAAGAAACCGGGGAGGCACGAGGCTCCTGTGGCTGGTCAGGGTCACGCGGATGGCGGAGCAACAGGACCCGACCCTGGGGTTTGGGCTCCGGCCAAAGTCCTCCGTGGTGGGCAAGGTTCCCATGCCTAGAAAAGGCCGCACCTGGACCAATCTCTGCCCATTAATAATAAACAAGGGAACTATTTCCCAAGGGAGAGTGGAGTTGCTTAATTTGATTGAAATTAACTTCAGTGATATCCTGGCAGAAGCATTCCATGAAAAATTGTCTTGATCTTTGTAGGCGGGTCCAAAGGGCAGATCCTGAGTGGAATCCTGTTTTCATAGATCGTTTCACTCCGAATGATTTCAGCACTAAACAAAGCCCTGCTGGAAGTGCGCAGTAACCAAAGGCAGATCGGCCAACTGAAGGTCCCTGGCCACAGAGCTCTGTGAATGCCACCTTAGGCCCTGCATTTTGCTGGAAGAGATGACAGGGCTGGGCTTCCTTGGGATTGGAGGGAACTCGGCTTAATGAAATGAGTTCTGCTGTCGTCAGGTGGTCACATTTGAGAAAGCCTCCTAGGAATTCTGGGAAATTCAGGGGCCCCAGAGTTGGGTGCACAGGAGGTGCTGGAGAAAGGTGACCAGGGCTTCAGGGTGCGTAAAGGTGTCCCAGGGAGGGCACACAGGTGGAGAGGGCTGGAGGGCTGGTGAGCGCGGACAGACAAAACAGGATGCGGGCCAGTGGGCTCTCGGGTGGAAGTGGAGGGAGGTCTGGGACAGGGTGGGTGTGGGGCAGCAGGGAGCTGTCTGTCCCTGAGTCTGAGGACGGAGTGCAACTGAGGCGCAGAGGTGAGGGCAGGCCGTGGGCAGGGCTGGCTTGTAGGGGGGACCAGGTGTGTGCCAGGTGCCCCTCAAAGCTCACAGCGACCAGCCCAGGACCCCTGAGCCTGGCTCCCAGGCTGGCAGCGTGGTTCGAGGACGGCAGGGAGCGGCCAGGACCCAGAAGGACAGGAACACAGGGACCGAGGAGGGTGGGCGCAGGGTAATAGCTGAAGAAGTAGATTAGGCCACTAACTGGTGTTTAGGAATGTTATTTGGGGTCTCCAATGGTGAAATTTGTTAGTGCTCGGTACTTACACAGGGAAGTTATTTCCGTGCATCTGAGAAATAAGGCTGCCCCTGGGTGTTCTTTTCTATTTATATTTCTGCTGGGGTCATAAGTAACAGAATGTCACTGCAAGAAGCTGATTCCCACATTCCTATTCCCCCAGAGCCAAGGAGACCCCATGGCCAAGCAGACCCTGGGTGAAGGGGAAGATGGTCAGCAGGTTCCCTCTAACGCACGGTGCTGGGCTCCCCTTGAACTCCACCCGCACCCCGTGTATGATGTGGGAAGGGTATGAGCACACCAGCAGGCCCTTTGGCTCCGGATCTGTCTGAATACTTAGTTCAGCACTCTCAGCACCTCATGTGGGAACCCTTTTCCCCTCACTTTGTCCTACAGAGAACTAGATGTGCCTGTCCACACCTGCCTCCCAGAGCAGGTGGACAACAAAGCCCACCAGGTTCAACACAAGGTGTGGCTGGGCTTCTCTAGGTCTGGCTATAGCCAGCTCAGGCTGTCCCATAGCACCAGAAATGTGTGATTATTCACATTTACAATGCCAGGACAGTGCTCTGGGAAAGGATCCTGTGGAGTTAGCTGGGAAAGGAAGTTCTCAATAAATATCACCTGGTGCATTGTGCCAGGTGCGCTTTAGAGTCAGCCAAGAGCACGGAGGTGGAGATGGCCATCCTCGACCCTGTCCTCTCTTACTACATGGGCACCCCTCCTCCACACTGCCCACAGAAAGGACTTCATGTGGGAGAGATTTGCTGCCCAGCCTGCCTCTTGAGGGAGCACCATTGTTCCCACTTGGACTGACCTTGGCAGGACCTGGAGTTTCATTCGTATTTGGACATTTCTGCTAAACACCCTTTAGGACTGTCTTAAAATCCTGCAAAACCTGAGCTCTGAGCCTACCGCACCCAGCTGCCCCGATGTCGTGAGGGGCTTCCTGTCCTGGCCTGCTGGCCCATGACTCAGTGGTCTGCCAGTGACATTTCTGATGCCAGTTCCTTGCACACGTGGGAAGGGATATTTAGAAAACACATGATCTTTGCCCCCAAAGTGTTTATGACTTGATTTTGGGGGTGCCCATTGTAGACAGTCTGTATGAAAATCTGCTATGCACCAACAAAGGCACATTTAAAATGCCTGGAAGAGCAGCAGGTCTGTTTGCACAGACCTACCATGGAACACGGTCCGCGATTTCTCACTGGGAAGCCAGCACCAGTGCGACTTGCCCCTCCCTGTGACCCTGTGGCAGGACCCGCGCTCTCCTAGGAGGAGGCCTCCGAGTGGGGTGCTGTGGCGGCCGCTCAGGAGGAGCTGCTTCTCTTCGCCACATCGGCTGTGATTTGACGGGTGCACGAGGAGCTGCCTGCAGTGATAAAGAGAGTCCTGGGAGGAAGAGGTCCAGGAAAGGGCCATGTTTCTTCCGGTAAAGGCGATGGAGACCGCCCTCTGCCTTCGTTGTCTAAAGCTGAGTCAAGGTCTAGGCAACCAGAGAAGCCACCCGGACCCACGCTTGCCCTAAACTTGCCAAAGCCTCTCGCCTGAACGGGGTGTTCCCTGGCTCCCCTTCTGCAGTAGCAACAGCGGCCCGACGAGAGCCGACTGCACAGGTGGTGGGGACAGAGGGGAGGGGTGAAGCGAAAAAGGCCCTGCTCAGAGACAGTGGTGGTGACAGAAAACTGGAAAAAGGAAATGTGTGTTTAGCATTGCCATTGCTGTGGCTGGTTGTGTAACTGAGGGCTTGTTCCCGCTGAGTCATCGCACAAATGCTTTTGGACTGAGGTGGCTGCTCAGAATACAGGCTGTATTACTTGGAATTAGGAAAGTCCTTCTCCTTCCAAGGAGGAGTGGACATGGTGTCTGTCCCTGTGCCCCGTTCAGCTTGTCGTTTGTGGTGGCGGTCCAGCGGTGAGGGCCACCCTTCACAGTCTGGCTCCTCCTGCTTTTAGGCAAAGCCTGGGGCGCGGGCGGGTGGGCAGTGCAGTGAGTCCATGGGGGGTCGACCAGCAGCCTCCCCGCTGGGGCTTCGGAGGTTCCCACTGCTCCAGGCAAGGGCAGCTAGCACAGCCAGGGGTCGCCCAGTGCCGGGGGCTGTGTGCGTTGTCTCGGGAGAAGGGGTGGAGGTCTTCAGGAGAGATGGGGCCTGGGGTCTCAGGCTCACAGAGCTCTCACATTCTGTGATGAGAGCATGGACTCCCCAGGACTCCCGGCTTCCCACGTTTGTGAACTTTGTGAACGGAGGACGCTGGGATCTGGTGTCGGGTTTGAAGGAGGATTAAGTGCGATCCTACACCTCCTTCCTCCAATGGTCAACAAAAGGATCGTTTGTTTTTTCTGCTCACAGTAACTGAGGCGGCCCAGCCTCCTCTGTGGAGTGGCTCGAGGGCCACTGGTGCCATGAACAAGGTCCCATGGGAAAGGAAGCCTGCACGTCACACAGGCCTGGCTGTGGGGGAAGGTTCCGCATCTTCTCAGGGACGGTTGTGTCTTTAGCTCCCTGCTGACTCCACAGTCCCCTCCTCCACTGTCTGCCCTGTAAGTGGCTTTGGAAGGTCATGGTCAAGGACAAAAACAAGACGTGAGCTCTCTCTGCCCTTACCCTTCATTTTCCAGGTGTGGGAAGAACGACTTTAGGGCCGGCATGGGCCTTGGATCTTTTGCCTGTCCTGCCAGCGACTGGCCCAGTGTGAATCAGTCGAAGGCTGTGTCTCCCGAGAAACCATCCCACCGACCCAGTGACTAACAGAGGGCGCTGTTGTTGCCCGGGAGAGGAGGATTCAGTGCCCTTCGACTCCAATCAGGGGTGGAGATTTTTTTTTTTTGGTACCAGGAACAGAGCTCAGGACCTTGTGCTTGCCAGGCAGGCACTTGTGCCGCTAAGCCATAGCCCCGGTGCGAGGATGGAGATCTCTTAGCAGTGGGGTCTTTCAGTCCTTCCTGGCTGAGAAAGACTCCAGCTTTGCCTTCGGTCCAGTGCTGTCCCTGCTGGCTCCCACAAAGCCAGGCAAGGAGGGCTGCTCCCAGGGCACAGCATCCCTGAGGCTGGGAGATGCCCTGTCTAGTTGGGGTCCCCGTAGTACCACTTCTTCTGAACCAGAGAGCAGGGGTGCAAAAGAACAGCCTACAATTTGGGTGCTTGGCCTAAAAAAGAGAAAAAAATCTGCCGTCACCAGACACAAATACCTGAGGACCCACTCATTCTTCAGTTGCTGGAGGGCAGTGCCGAGAGGCCCAGGGAATCAGATGGTTTCCACTGCCGTGCTCTCCCGGCACACTGGTCCAGCCCGGTGAGTGTGGAAATGTCCCGGAGGAGCGCGGGTGTCCAAGCAGGGCCCACCCATGTAGTTTCTAAGGGCGCTTTTCAAACTTCTGTGTGTGTAATGAAACCTCTGAATGCTCAGCAAGCCTAGATCGACGTCCCTGTAACTCCATATTGTACCTGGTTTATGCGACAAGGGGCCACCTGTGCTTGAGGTCTGGGCTTGCGGGGGCCACCCAGGATGCACTTGGTCCCTCACATTTCAGGGCTCAGGGTTGATCCTTAGCACCATGAGTGTCATGTCTCGAAGCTGGACCTGGAGACCAAGGTGGGGCCTCAGCCACTTGTGAAATTGAGCTGAAGCCAAGGGTCCCCTGGAGCCAAGAGTCCCCCGGAGCCAAGCTGTCCGGGAGGTCCGGGTCCGGGAATCCACATGCTGCTCCACAGCCCCAGTGCTCATGATCCTTGCTGCACTCAGGAGCCTCGCCCTCTACGCGTCCATCTGGAGACTCCAGTCCTGCATAGGTCAGGACGCCCTCAAGGGAGGTCTGCGGGGAAAAGGGCTGATAAACACGGAGAGATCAGTTTCCACAGAGTTCTAAACTTTGTTTTGCTTTCCCAGACAGATGGGGCTTTTCTCAGAGAGAGAGAGCAACAAATTCCACAGATTCACTGAACAACCCTTGGTGACCTGCACAGAGGAAACAATTGCTCAGACAGAGGCTGCTTTCCTGGGAGTTACGGTTATTTCTGTGTATTGAGAATCATTCAGAATGTTTGTTGATCTTATTTCCTGACTTGATCAAACATCACTCTCTGTGTTTATAACATTGCATAACACCGTATTATATTTGGCTTACTTTGGCGGGATAAGCCAAACAGAAGGACAGCCAACAGGAGGACAGCCAACAGGAACTCGCATCTGACACAGCACCAACTTCAGGGAAACAGCTGAAGGTCTAAAATGCTGAAGGGCCGTGCACGTTCCTGTGTTCCGTGGGGTGTGTAGAAGGAGTGCAAGGAGTGGAAGACTGAACAGAGGGTTTTAGTTCTCACCACTGCCCGGAAAACACACACTTGTTCTCTCTTCCCTCAACTTTGGAAAGTTAAGAAAACAAGACAGATCACCTGGGACACTCTTGCCCCGTGTTAGAAATAGCAGGACTTCCGGGAGAGACAGCGGCTGCCGTGGCTCCTTCATTACCTTCATGCAAGTGCGTTGAGGAGCCAGGCGGGTCGGCCGCCTCCCTCTGCGGCTCCTGGCCCGGCCGTCTGTGAGCCCCGCAGAGCTGCCGTCCCGCTGTGCCCAGAGGACGCCACCTTTCCCCTGGAGAGACGTGGGTGCAGGCCCAGCCCGTGGGAGGCGGGATGGAATTTCGAGCCCCACGCCTGCGAACTCGTCTTTAATCACAAAAGGAACACTGATTTATTTATTTGGATTTTTTGGGTTTTTTTCGCTGATTTATTTTTAAAAGTCAAAAACCAGAAAGTGCATAAAACGAACAGCAAAAATCCTCAGGCCAATGCTTTTCAGTTATTACCCGATTCCTGTGTGTTCTGTTTTCACACACACAAATACATACACGCGGCCTGCATCATTGTCATTAACTTCTAACAAGTAAAATTGAAACATTTATATTAAAACAAAATCATCCAGTCAGTGTGTGCTCGTGTGTGCACTCGCGTGAACCCATCGGAGTGTCGGGAGGGGGTGCAGACCGCGGCCGAGCGCTGAGGCGAGCCGTGGCGCGGCGTGGGCCGGGCAGGTTGAGACTCTGAGGCCGGAGCAGAGGCGGCACAGGGAGCAAAGCTGGCCCTGGCGGGCTGAGCCTCAGCGATGGCTGCGGTGACGAGGAGCTCTGCTGGGGACACACGGAGTCTGGCGCCTCTGAGGCCCCTGTGACAAAGGAGAGCCAGGCTGGCTCCTCTCGCCCCGAGCCCGCTCCGCAGCTCCCGGGACAGGGGACCCAGAGGGGGGCCCCGAGTCCCCTCCCCTGGCCCACGCGGCCCGGCAGCCCCGCTTCTCATCCCGGGCGTCTGTCACCCCGGACGTGTCCAGTGACTGTGCTCTCTACTCTGCGCCTCCTGCAGCAGGGCCGCTGGCCTCTGGTTTTCTGGCGGCGCGGAGGACTGCGTCCCCGCACGGCAGGGCCCGCACCCAGCGGCGGCCTGTGCTCTGTGCTCTTCCCCACCTGTGGTGCCGCCTCTGCCTGCGGCTGCGGGGAGGGACAGACACCACAGGGCCCCAGCCCTGGCATCTGGCACGACTGCGACCACGCCCTGGCTGTGGCTGCGGTGATGGTGACATGTCCCTGACAGACGCCTGGAGGGCGCATTTCTTACGACCCCACTATGTCTCAGCTTCCTGAGTTCCTGCTTCTCTCCACACCTGCCTTATTTTAAAACTTGACACATTATTCACGTTTTAAACATTTTTCAAAATTTTTTTCTTTAATTTGGGCTCTCTGTGCCTCAATGGTCTCTTCTGTGAAACGGACAAAATAATTGCACCTCACAGGGGCCGTTGTGCGGATTAAATCATTAATCATTAAATCATTAATCACCAAGTGCTGAAGGCTGAGCTGGACGCAGAGTCAGAAATGCTGACTACTGTTAGCATGATCAATTGATCAGCTACTGACTGACTTTATAAATCATTTTCAAGTTTTGCTATTATGAATGTGCTGTAATGAAACCCTTTGGAGTAAATCTTGTGCATTTGAGCAAGAATTTCTGTTTGGACAAATCTTTAGTACTGGGGTTTCGCTTCAAGGTTAGGCCCGCTGACTGCTGGTGTGCTCTGACACAGCAGAGGGAGAGACGGAGAAGCAGAGTGAGCCCGGCCTCGCGCGTGCCTCACAGTCTCCAGCAGCAGTTCCTGCAAGTCTCTGGTGCCCCCCAAAGACGTGGCGTGCCCGTTGGCGGTCACCACCCCATTCCTCTGTCCCCACAGCCCCTCCGTCTCCGTGACCGCCTGCAGCGCAGACGGACGATACCATCCAGCTTGCGTCTGGGTTTTACACCCAGGCGCCTTCCCAGGCCGACTGAGTCGGAGTCTGTACTGGTGCTTCACTTTCTCCGGCTGAGTAAACCCCCTCGTACGGCTACCTCACGCTTTATTTATCAAATGTCAGAAACTTCTTGTGTTGTTTTCATTTGGGGGCAATTATGAGAAATTCTACAAACACTCGTTGAACAAGTTTGACACGAATGTATGTTTTCAAATTCTTGAGCGTATGCCTGAGTGTTCATGTTCGAGTCTGTGTTTAATTTTCAGACTGCTGACTGCTTTCCACGATGTCTACACTGCCTTACATACCGCCAGCCATGACCCGGATTCTCATTTCTCCACATCTTTTTTTTGGTACCGGGAATTGAACTCAGGACCTTGCACTTACCTGGCAGGTGCTGTGCCGCTGAGCTACCGCCCTGCCCGCCCCTCAGTTCTCCACAGCTTCACAGCACCTGCTATTGTCTGTCACCTTGGTGCCAACCTCCCCGTGCCCTGTGTGAGTGAAACAGTGTCTCACTGTGGTTTTGATCTGTATTTCCTTAACAGCTGATGAGCTGGAGTGCTTCTTCTGGGCTCACTGGACAACAGATCTCTTCTTTAGAGATATGCCTATTCAATCCCTTTGTCCATTTTTAAAGTTGTGCTGTCTTTTACTGTTGTGTTCCTTATATATCCTATATACAAGTCCTTTACTAGACTAAATATTTACAAACATTTTCTATTTTCTGGGTGTCTTCCCAACTTATTTGTTTCGTGCTGTGGGGACTAAACCTCGGGACCTGATCGTCTAACCATCGCTCTGCCACCGAGTGACAGTCCCAGGCCTCAGTTTTTCAAGTGCCCTTTCTGGCACACGCTCTGTTTTGATGAAGTCCAGTCATGTTTCTCCTTTGGTCCCACAGACTCTGGATATCCAGCCTCAGGTGGGTAGCAGATGGAGACAAATGAAAAAGCAGCAATGTCACAGAGCACGCTAATAATAAACGTATCCAGACAGCTGTGTTCCAGGAGACAGTATAATTTCTGTTGGTGAGTACAAGCCAGATACAAATCACATAAAAATCATCATGTATTCCAGTCCAAGGGACACAGCAATGGAGAATTCCACCCTCGAGGGAAACAGTTAATATTCATACCATTTAAGTGCGCTTTATAAATTGCTTATGCCTATTTATCAATCTCATCTATTATCTATGTTCTATCATCTATAATCAATCTATGTATACTCTATCACCTATTTGTCTATACTGTATTACTCTATCACCTATCTGTCTATACTGTATTACTCTATCACCTGTCTATACTCTATCACTCTATCACCTATCTGTCTATACTCTATTACTCTATCACCTATCTGTCTATACTCTATCACTCTATCACCTATCTGTCTACCTTTCCATCTGAACCAGCTCCCGTGCAGGCAGCGGTGCTTGGGAGGATCTCTGAGCGGTGTGCAGCCACCTGAGGAGATGGTGGTTGGCGGGCTGCGGTGGGAAGAGCCACCCACTCCTCCAGAGGTTTGCGTGTGATTCATACGAGAACATCCCAAGGAACATAGGACCCAGGAACATCTCTTGGAATCTAGAAGAAAAGAACCGTTCAGAAAATGCTTGTTCTTGGATGGGAAATAGCAGAACACAGGCCCTGGAGGGCAGGTTGCTGAGAGGTCAGGAGCAACAGCACGCAGGGCCTGGAGGGCCCACGAGGGAACTGGGGGGCCCCACACCGTCACCCACACTGGAAGGGGAGGGAAGCGGGGTCCGTCTCGACCCCTCCGCGAGGAAGAGCTGATTTGTGAAGGTGTCGGGGGTGTGGGGGGCCCTGCCCAATGGGAGCAGGACGCGTCTCATGGTCAGGGGACAGCTGTGACCGTGACCCCCTTCCATGACAAGAGCCCCCCCGGTCAGTGCAGGCAGCCGGGAGCCAAGTGTGGGTGGACACAGCAGGAAGGGTCCCGGGCAGGTCTCCCGGCCTGTCGGGGAAGGGCTGACTGCGGCTGTGGCCCACGGCCCTGGCCTGGACATCCAGGGTCCACACTCAGTGGACACTGAGCTACTCCCAGAACAGGGGCACACGAGACAGGCGAATGAGTCTTCTTGGTCAGCCGTGCAGAGCTGAGGCCACCCAGGCCCCGGGGGCAGTGGACGACGATGCAGCCGGCAGGCGCGAGCTCGGGGCCGGTCTGCTCTTTGGCCCAAGGGAGGGACAGACCTTACGGACTGGACCCAGCCTCCTCCCGCAGACCTACCATCCTGGTGAACCTGTCCTCGCAGGCCATCCTGATCTTCTCCGGGGTCAGCGGGCTGCTGAGCGCCAGGGTCCCAGGCAGTCCTCTCTCCCGCCTCGCGGCGCTCACTGCGTCCCAGATGGCGAAGAGCACAGAGCACCCCAGGAACACCCCGGACTCCCCCAGGCCCTGCAGGAGGCAGCCACTGAGATTACCACCACTGGCCCTGCGTGTGCGTGCGTGCAGATGTGCAGGGCCTATGCACATATGAAATACACACTGTCCATAAAAGTTCTTACTAAAAGGAGTAATTTAACCTTTTGCCCAGTATCCTGCCCTTAGAACCCCAAGGAAATGACCCCAAGTAAGGCAGGAGTGTGAAGAGGATTATGCAGGGGGAAAAGTCGGGGCAGCTCCACTGAGACAGCAGCCGTTAGAACCCCCGGAGAGCACCCTCTCTCATGCTGAGCAGCGGCTCTGCAGGCGAGCTCTCAGAGGTGCTGCTGTGACCCTGGCGAAACGCACGGCACTCGGGAAAGGACTGAGCCATGCCCCCTGGTGTCCACAAGGAGGGCGATCCTCGCGGCGTGGCTCACCTTGGACGAGTACAGGGTATTGGATTTTTCGGATGGAGGCAGAAAGGAGATGTGCAGCTCGGCCGGGAGGTCGCAGATGGCGGGGATCTTGTACTGGTCAGGGCCCCGCGTGTGCAGCGCGCCCTGGGGGGCGTACTTCAGCTCCTCCGAGGTGTACAGCCCCATGCCTTGGACGAAGGCGCCTTCCACCTGGCTCCAACAAATCCCACGAGAAGATGCAGCTCCCCGGCAAGCGGCTCCCTCCCCCACTTGCGTCAGACACAACCAGGGTCTCAGATGACACGGGCAGTGCCAGAGGCCGACCCCAGGGCATCTCCATGCGCCTCCAGTCAGCAACAAGCACCACATCACAGTGTCCTGCTGTGCACGCAGCCCCGCCCGGTCCACACAGACCCAGCTCCTTGGGGTCCCCGATGGGAGGCCCCGTCATCTGAGCCCGCGCCTTGCCACGTGACGGCCACAGCAGCCCTGCGTCTCTGCACTCAGTACTGCCCCTGCAGCAGAAGCTTCCTGCGTGGCTGTCGAGTGCTCAGGTTCCTCGGCCAGGCCCGCACCCTTCCACACCCTCCTGCGACTTCCTTCCTTCCTCATCCCGCCCCAGGCAGGGCTCCCTCAGGACGCTGATGGATCCTCCTTCGGCCCGGGACACTCCCAGCTCCTATCATCCCCTCTGGTCCCACTCCAGCCCCACCCAGGGCCCCGGCCTTGGGCCAGCTATGGACGTGGGTGTGCAGGACCCCGTCTCTGTGCTGATTCCTTCCTTCACCGTGGGGAACCCTGGCTTCCTCCCCAAACCGCTTACACCTCCCCTCTGGCTGTTCTTCCCGTCCCGTGACACATTGCTGGGGCCCACGGGACACTGCAGGATGCTCCCAACAGGAGCGCCGGGCTCAGCGCCATGTGCAGTGACAGGCAGTGACAGTGTATGTGGGACGGCTCCTGGTGGCCTGTGTTGTTGTGAGTGTGCGGCCCCGGCAGGCTGAGGGTGGTCACATTTTGTGTCTTCGAGAGGAGCTAGACAGCTGTGACTTCTCAGTCTGGTCAGCTGGTTCAAAGTGGTTAGAAATCAGCTTGGAAGCCGCCCGCCGATGACCAGTGCTATAACTGGGGCCTGCGACTCCGCCCACTGTCACTGCTTGATGCCCGAGCCCACGTGGCGCAGGCGCTCCTCGCACCCCAGGGCTTGGAGTTCAGCGGCCTCCGGGTCCCCTTGCCCCCTGCAGCCCCCTCCCATCACACAGTGGTTTCTTCACCAGCCCCTGCACGCCTCCCCTCCCCCGCTCTCTGCACAGCAAGAAATTTGGGTTCTGCCCTGGCCGCAGCAGCACCGAGGAGAGGGCGGGAGGAAGGTGGTCAGGAGGCTGGGAGTGTGGGGGCCCGGGTGCCCCACACAGGAGGTGGCGGGGGGGGGGCACGTACCTGGCCTCGGTCGAGGGCTGGGTTGATGCTGTGGCCCACATCCATGACGATGTCTGTCCTGATGTTCTAGTGATAAAGAGAAAGCCCCAGGTTTGTCTCAGTCAGAGGAGGCCGGGCGGAGAAGCCCAGAAGCCCTTCCTGTCTGGCGGGCAGTGGGGTAGAGATTTCTTGGGCCATGTTATCTCAGGGGGAATGGGCAATACAGATTTTCCCATGTGAGTCTGTCGAAGTTACATATACAAACACTCTCGAGCAGTTGTTTTCTTCTTGGAGACACAAGTGGGAATGAAACTTGATTTCAAGCTGGGTGGTGAACAGACTGCGTTCAACCCATGACAGGGAAAGGAAGCCCTGTGGCCAGGTCATCCTGGCTGCCACGGTGGCCACACGGCCCCACTGGCTTGGGGAGCGTCCTGAGGCGCAGAGCTGGGGCAGTGGTGGCTGTGAACGGTCACCGCTGCTCTGCGTTCTCCACTCTTGGGCGGGAGGACAGCAGGTCTGACGTCAGTTTGCTGTCTGACAGCACAGACAGGGATGCAGGCCCAGCTGCTCTCCCGTCGGATCCTCCCGCCCACCACTTTTCTTAGGGACAAGGACAATGTGCGGAATGGTTGGCTGAAGTGAAACTTAAGGCTTTCCTCAACTCACTCTCGAACAGACATGGTGGATGTGGAATTCTCTGACCCAGCACAAACCACAGAGCAGCACTCTGAGCTCAGGCGGCCCTGACACAGGCAGCCCGTAGGCGGGAAAGACGAGCAGAGGGAAACTGAGGCCCCCTGAGGACCAAGGGTGTGACTGAGAAGAGGTGCTCTGGCCCCAGGAGCCATGAGGCAGCCGCAGCCTCACAAGAAGCCCCAAGCCAGGGTCACCCCGACAGCCACTCCCAGGTCCGGGCCCAGCAGGGGCTGCAGCGGGTGAGTACTGGCTATTTTCAGCTGCTGTGTTTGGGGTAACTGGATGCATAGCACTAGCTATTGCGGGCACAGACTCCGTTCCCAGGGAGGGGAATGTTGGAGGAGTAGGGTGATCCTGTCACCCGGAGGGAGGCCAGGCGAGGGTGTCAGGAGATGGCCTTTTGTCCAGGGCGACACTTCCTGGGCTGCAGATCTGGGTGTGGTGATTGGACACCCTTAGGTGCCCAGCTGAGTTGTAGGAGCATATCTTGGAGTTCATAGCAAGACTAGTTATTAACTTGGATCTTAACGCAGCCCGGGTGTGCACACACGGTGACGTTGTACCAGCTTTTCTTTGGGGGAACGGGTTTGGTGTGAGCTCAGCTGGGTGGGCAGCTGCTCTGCCATGAAAGCTCAGAGGGGCCCCTGCTCAACCCAGGCCAAAGTTCCCCAGCGAGACCAGGGTGAGCGAGGCCCAGACCAGCCAGAGCTCGAGCAGGCAGCCGGGAGTGGTGTGCAGGGCCCCAGAGATGAGGCCGACTGTGGCTCAGAAGGGGGCATGTGAGGGGACCCCGAAATGAAAACTTACACCTGACCACTCCCACAACCCAAGACTGGAGACTCAAACCGGGACTTGCTCCTGGCGGGTCCTTGGAGGGGTTCACACCAGGCCAGTACCCTGGTCCCATGTCCTTTGTGAGGGTGAGCACAGCCCACCGACTGTGTGATAATCGTGTGTCATTACTGCAGTGCCAGCAAGTGGCTTCCTTTACCCCCAGTGGCCAGGGTACAAGAAGAGAAACTGAGTCCTTGGAGGTAGTGTGTGCGTGCATGTGTGTACGTGTGTGCATGCACATGTGTGAGTCAGTATGTGCTTCTACTCCACAAGAATGCTCTGGAACGATCTAAAAAGAGGGGTCTGGCTGGGCACCGAGATTCTGAGAGCTGGCCTGGCCCGGGGCTGTCCCTCAGTGCTGGTCAGCAGGTTCCGGTACCCAGGGACCCGAGCACCTGGGCACCCCAGCCCGTTTCCCGTAAGTGGGCAGGGCTGCTGGCAGTGCCCACTGTCCACCCACCTCAGGCTCCCTTCTTGAGGTGGCTTCCTTCGGGGTTCTCTTGTGAAGGGCAGGGAACCCATGGGCGAGAGGGCATCCCAGAGACCCCGCTGGCACTGACCTTGTGGTGTCACCGCGTGTCCCAGAGACCCAGCTGGCACTGACCTTGTGGTTCCCGGTCAGGCAGTCGATCTCCACCTCGGAGCAGGCCGCTCCGTACACGAAGTATTCAAAGGGGTGGCCTTCGCCCTTCTCCCAGTCGATGTTCGACTCGTAGCCCCTGCGGGAGCCGGGACAAGCACTGAGGCCGCGCCTGTGACTGCAGCCGAGGGAGCCTCAGCTCAGCCGGCCCCTGCCCACTCCTCAGGCAGCTTGCTCTGCCCGGCGAAAACACCCAGCCCGTGTGTGACTCATGCTCCTCAGGCTGCAGGCCAAGGAGCGGACCTGGGCGTGGGGTCCTGCGGGTCACCTGGGGACTCAGCCGCGTCATGCCCAGGCCCCTCGGCAGAGGCACAAGCCACTGTGTACTCCGGCTGCGTGCGTCCGCGTGGATCAGAGCCCTGGATCCCTTTCCCTCCATCACCCCGCTGAACGGCCCCTCCGCCCGCCAGGACGTCCAGTGACTGTCAGGGTGAAGAGTGGCCGCTCGTGTCTTCACCCTCTGCCCCCGCCCAGCCTGGAAGAGGTCCCCGTAGACATGCCCAGGCCAGCGGCCGGGACACCCCAACAGTGACAGCTGCCCTGTGTCCCCCTGCTGTCCACTCTCCACTGAGACGGTGTGGGAGGTCAATCCTCCCCCTACACGCAGTTCCCATCCTCCACATCTGCGGCCGCATCCCTGAGAGTCACTGCCAGATTCCTTTCTAAGAGGTGGGCACGGGGCCTGTCTCACCAGTGTCCCTTGCATCTCTACCTTTGCTTTACCTGAAGTATCCAATAGCCGAAAGGCTGATGCTCTGGTCGAAAGCAGCCTGCGCCTGTGAAGGAAGGCCATGAGGCGTGAGAGCGAGCGTGGGGAGAGGTTCGCTCTGCCCATGCTCCGCGACCTCTGGGCAGCAGTGACAAGGAGGGTCCTTCAGGTCCTCCCTCTCCAAGCATCGGGGCTCCCTGCACGAGTGATGGTGTCTGCCTGGGCCGCGTGACTGGGAGTGCCCGTGCGCCAGCAGGTGACATGCGCAGAAGCACAGGTTGGGCACCTTATGCTCGGCTGATGAGGATTCAGCCGTCCCTGAGAGGTGAGCCTGTGCCAGGGGCGCTCAGAGGACAACGGCTGGCTGGATGCTCAGGTTTAGCACAGATTCACACCCGTTTCCACGGCAGGGAGTAATTTTACTAAACTGTGCCACTGACACTGAAAGTTCGGAGTACAAATGCACAAAGCTGACTGCTCCCCAGAAAAGCGAGGATTAGGTCCAGTGGGGAGAGGGACAGCAAGGAGCTCCTCCACCCAGGACAGGTGATGTCCCATGGGGATGGCAGTGGGGCTATCACCCTGGGCGGCACCGCTCTGCCACTTTCTGCAGCTAAGCAGCTCAGGGCAGAGGCAAATATGCCCAGGAAGGCTGGGGAGCACTCACAAATGGGCGACCGAGTGGCTCTCACCCGAGTGGCCCTCACCTCAGACGCAGCAGGAACCCCTCATGGCGGGGGTTGCAGGGATTGAAGCCAGGGGTAGGGCTGGGTTCCACACAGAGCTGTACCCAGCCTGGAGTGGCTTCTCAGCAGAACCTTCTAACAGGGTCCCCTAAATCCCCCTAATGTTGTGACACTGATGTCCCCACACGGTGGGCATGAAAATCCGGACCACTCCGTGTGCTGCTTTCTCAGGGTGACCTCAGACGCCCACCAGGACCTTAGAATGTGCGTCTTCTCTCCCTGCTGGGTTTTAAGTGCTTCGAAGGAGGCAGCTGGGTGTTTCCAACCCACCGAGCGAGTGCCTGCCACTGGCCAAGCACGTCCTCAGTGGCTTGGTTTCCTGTTCCAGATGAGAGCCCGGGTGATTTTTACTTTTGTAGGATGATTTCTATATTGTTCTTCTATTTTAGGAACAGTGGAACCCAAACAAGGAGAAAAAGTAGACTTTATAGCTGTTATCCAGAAAGTCCCAGGTTCCAAAGGATAGAACTTTAATTAATTCAGGCTTAAAACAGAGGTTTTGGCAGGAAAGCCATCTTTTTCTCTAATAGAGAAATTCCCAGGTGTGAGTGTCTCCCGCTGCATAGGGGAGGGCTTTCGCAAGCCCCATCACCATGTGCCCGGACCCCCGCTGGTGCCTGCTTGCCCCACTCACCCCCTCGGCCTCTCCGTTCTTTCTTTTCTAACATAAAGCATAGAAAACCAGTGGTTCTCACCCAATCCTTCCACGTCCCCTGGGGATTCTTGCTGATGATGGGTTCAAGGCGTTTTAGAAGAGTTTGACAGGCGTTCTAGGGATTGTATATGTAAGTTAAAATTATTGCCATGATTTCATGCAGAGAATACAACACGTCCTCCCACGGCTTATCTGAGATCCTGGGGGCCCTGGGAGACTGCCCCTTTGGCAGGACCATCTGAAGGACTGCGTGTGGGCACCTGCCAGGTGTGAGCAGGTCTTAGCTGGGAAACCAGTCAGTCAGTTTGGACGTGGCAGATTTGTTTGTGGACTGCTTCCCCGGGCAGGGCAGGGCAGGGGACAGGGGACAGGGCGGGGCTGCTAGAGAGAGGGAGTCAGATGCCAGCACAAGGAGGTGATGTGAAGCGGAAGGCAGGCATTTCGGGTGGGGCTGAAGGGACCTTCCAGCCAGTGACACGGTGGGAGCCAGGGAGACAGAGGCGGCTCTTCATGCCCGGGGGACTGCAGGGCACAGGCTGGGGACGGAGGGGAGTGTGGAAGAGCCCACAGCCTCTCAGCCCGCGGGGCAGCCTGGGAGTGATGGTGCAGACATCACTCACCTTTACCGCCAGCCCATTGAGATCGGCTACCACGGAGGCTCCGGAGACGTTGGCATTCGGAACGGTTTCTGTGCTTGTCCCGCGCAGGTGGATGTTCGCCATTGGCATCTTCAGTTCCCGGCTCACCACCTGGATTCGGGACAGCCCGTTTTCAGGCACTTTGGTTATCTGCAGAGCAGTGCCCACACCCGGCCTGCGCTCGAGTGTGGAGCTGTCGTATGCACACGGGCTCAGGAGGTACGAAGGTTCTGCTTTCCTGAGACCCTGGAGCTCGTCCGCAACCCAGGCTCTGCACACGTTTTTTTCTTTGACTCTCGCCTCAGCCATCCCATTGGGAGGGGAGGTGAGCCCAGGTAAGGCAGGAAGGAACCCTTCACTGGCACCTCAAATCATGAAATCTACACCTGCCAGCCAACACCATCTACAACCACGCTGCAGAGTTCTAGCCAAAGGCGTGGTACCAACGACAGAAGGGGCTTCTCTCCCAGGCACACTGTGGCTGCTCCAGGAAAAGAGCATCCGGGGACAGGGGCAGCGGCCTGCAAGGAGCTGTGTGCACTGCACTGAGGACACGAGATTGCATTCTGCAGCCTGCCAGGTTCTTAGTTCTGTGCTGGAGGACATGAGTGTCCACCACCTCTGGAGATCAGCTGGCAGCACCCTCACTGGGACTTGCCCACCGCCATCACGGATGAAGGCACCAGGGCCCGTCCCCAACACCAGCTCTCGGAGCTCGGCCTTACGGAGCCCCCAGAGTCAGGGGTCACCGCCTCGGGGACCCAGCCTGGAGACACTGAATTCCCCTTGCAAAGCAGGGTGGGGCCACCAGACAACCTCAAGCGGTTGACGGCACAGAGGAAAGTATATTCCCTACCTCCACCTTCAGCAATAGTGGGGCACCTTCACTTTCCTAGCAAACTACACTACAATTTTCAACACTTTGTCACATTTGGTGTTGTGCAGAGTTATAAGAATGTGAACACCTTCCAGAAAATGACTTGGTAAAACATATCAAGCAATTTGAAATACTCATACCCTGTGGCCCAGGAATTCAATTCTCGTAAACTACTTCAAGAAAATAATCACAGACAGGATCATGGGTTAAGGGACAAAAATATTCACTGAAGTATTCAACAACGGGAGGATGATAAAATAAATCACACTTCTAAAGTATAGTACAACAACCACTGATAATAACCTACCACTTTTGTCTGTAACTCACTATTATTTGTCTATTTGTTCTCCTGAGAAACTATCTTGTAGATAACAGTATGTAAAACAACAACCATTGATAATTTCCTACCACTCTGCCTGTAATTCGGTAAGCCCCTCTATTACTATGTGATCCTTCTTTTAGTCTTTAAAATTAAAAAAAAAAAAAAACGCACTTACAGAAGCCCTGAGACTAGCGATGGTACAGAATTCCTGGTGAGCAGAGGAAGTGGCCACTGTCCTCCAGGGTGGGTGACAGCATGAGGCTATGACATTACATAGGCGATGCGATAGAAGGACCCCAAAATAAAGTCACCAAGAGGTGAAGCCGTGGAAGACTTTTAAAAAGAGTCTGACTTTTCCAAATGTTTTCTAACCTATAATATTAATTTCCTACCACGATTATGAAATTAGAAACAGTAGCTTAAAATTAATCTAAAATAAGCGAGCCAGAAGCAAACTAGTGAAGTTTGGCGAGAGACAAGGACTAGGCTTCCCGTTCTGGGCTGTTCGGAGCCCTGAGAGCAGAAAGGGTGAGATTCGGTGCGGCTCACTCTTCTTCCGGTGCTTAGCAAAGACTCGAGGCAGGCTGCTCAGCCCCAGACACGCACGTGCAGAGGGCAGCTGCGCTCTCCGGAGCTCCTTACCACGCGGGCTCATTACCAGGTCCTGCAGGGAACGGCGGCGCTGCGGCCCAGGTTGCCGGTCCTCTGTTCTGGGTCAGGAAATGTGCACTCACAGCTTTTCTCTAAGCGCACACTCACCAGTGTCGGTGACTTGCACGCTTACCTGGATCATTTTCGTGTGGACGCCTTGCCCCATTTCAATCCCACCGTGGGTGACCAGCACAGAGCCGTCCAGATAAACGTGGACCAGGGCGGAGGCCTGCGCAGAGAGACAGGACGGTGAGCAGAGGTCCTTGGCGGGCATCGTACTGGGCCATGGCAGTTACACTGGGTTTAGAAATGGTCTTTTCCCTTTCATCCTCTAGGTGCTGCCAAACCACTCATAACCGGGCACAGCCCTGTACGTGGTCGGCACACTCCCGGACGCACATTTTCTGGCCGGGCTCTGTGGCTGGGCTCCGTGGGTGAGGGCTCCGGTGCCTAAGTTTCCCACAGAGTGCGGCCACGCCAGGGACAGCAAGGCAGGGTTTCAGGACGCCCACACGACAGTGTCCACTTCGTGAACCTGACGGCCACTGAGCCTTCACCCATCTGCCCGGAGAGGGGGCCCAAGAGACCCAGCTGGTGACTCAGGGCCTCTGCTGACCACACACAGTACTCGCCTTGGTGGAGTGGACTCGCTGCCCTGGTCAGTGGAGTAAGCTGGGGACGCCCTGGGCGATGGAAGGACCCGGTCCTCCGGGACAGAGGGCCACAGTGACACGGCCAGGGGAGGGAAGCTGCAGAGCCTGTGTCACTGTTGATGGTGACTCTGGTGTGGGAGCCCCGGAGGCAGACGGCGCCCCGGCTACCGGGGATGCACACAGCATCCCTTACAGGGCAGGTCTGTATGGTGACCCCAGGGGTACGGTGACCCCGTCCTAGGGTCCTGGATGGCACTGGCCTCCAGGACTCCTGCAGTGGGCTTCAGCTGTGGGACAGGGCCGCGGAGACATTGGATGGGGTTTCCTCACCCTTCCCATCCCCACCCGGGCTTTGCCTCTGCTGCTCAGGCCACCTCCACCCTGGCTGTCCTGCGTCTGTCCCTTCTGCATTCTGTCCTCGTAGACGGATGGCTCTCTCAGCCACCGCCACCAGGTGTGGAGCGAGGCTGCGCCCAGGCACCACAAGTCCTCTGCCCCAGAGCGCCTGCCTGTGGCTGCACGCCCCCAGCACCGGGGACGGCCCGGCCCTGGGCAGTGGAGCTGGGGGCTGCGGCGGAAGGGGCTGTCCGGAGTTCCTGCCCCTGTGGCCTCCACACAGCAGACACCTGACGCTCCTCGGGAGGCTGCCCACGCCCACGGCACCCTCCTGCCCTGCCTGGGTCCCCCAAGCCTTCTAGTGTGAGTCTGCAGGGCCGCCAGGCTGCGAGGGCTCCGCAACCACAGGGCTGTGAGCGCACACACAGCAGCGACACGCGGACGAGCTCCCGCCCTGGGTGTGGGAAGTTATTACACGAGGGCTTCACTGCTCTCAGCACAGTGGACCCTGCCCCAGCCATGGGAGGTGGCGCCCGACACGGGCACCCGACTTCTGGCTCTGCATGTGTCCAGAAGCCGTGGGCAGCTGGAAGAGGAGCCTGGGGCCGAGTGGCTGGAGCCACCCGGCAGCTCCCACAGGAAGTCGCCCCACAAGCGTGGGTGCGGCAGAGGTGCCCAGCTCCTCTGCAGGGAGGCCGACTCGGCTTTGGCGAGTTCAGCAACTGCGTGCTGCAACCACGAGGCAGCGAGTCCCACGGGATGGGACAGGAGGCGCTGCCGCACTGCCCCGCCAGCCTCCACGGGAGCCCACCTGGCCCAAGGCGACGCTGCCGAAGCCCACTGGGAACTTCAGGGGGACCATGGCCAGCCCTCGCTTCTTCCAGGGATTGTCCGTGTTGAACCTGTCCACAGCCGCCCGCCGCAGGGAGAAGGCGGCCTTGGCCTTGCATTCACTCCAGCAGCGGGCCAGGCCCTCGGTGTGGATCTCTTGTCCGTAGGGTGTCCGGTCGGTTCCCTGGTACATATTCACCTCTCGCACCTGGGGAGGGAAGGCGGGTAGAAGCGAGGGACCGGGCAGACACAATCCCAAGCCCACGGTGCTGTCCAGCTGCCATCCTGTAAGGCTGCTCGGCGCCCTCTCCCTCAGAGCTTCTGGGGCTGTGAGCGCTGCCGAGCCTGCACGTGCACCCCGCCTGTCCCACCCTGCCCCAAGAAAGCTCAAGGAGTCCTCTCTCCTCCTACGCAGCTCAGTGTGGTTTGTAGGTGACTGCAGCCCACACGAGTCAGATTATTCAGACGTAACATAACACAGCTGGGCACATGCCTGTGATCACAGTGCTCTGGGAGGATGAGGCAGGAGGATCACAAGTTTGAGCCCAGCCTGGATAACTTAGCAAGATCCTGTCTCAAAATTAAAAAAATGGGCTAGGGATGCAGTCCAAACCATGCAGGGCATGACGGCCACGAGTTCTGTCACACCCTATGACATGGCAGCCAACTTTCCTGAAGCTGCCCTTCCGGTTTGCTTGAGTCTCAGCCGGACCTTGACTGTGGAGACACCCCCTCCCTTGCGAGGACCCCGAGGCCCTGGCGCCTCCCCGGGGTGTGGGGGAGTCTGCGTCACCTCCTCCGGGGACAAGCCGCACTTGGCTGCCACCTCCGTGATGCAGGCCTCCGTGATGAGCCCGGCCTGCGGGAAGCCGAAGCCGCGCAGGGCTGTGTTGGACGGGAGGTTGGTTCTGCAGGCGCGGCCGCGGCAGCGCAGGTTGGGGAACTTGTATGCGTTCTCCATCTTCAGAAGCCCCATCTCCACCACCTGCGGAGCCAGGGGACGCGATGAGAGCCTCGTCCTCTGCTCATTGGCCACCCTGAGGCCTCAGGCTAAAATCGGGCGCAAACAGCATCCCCTCCGGCCCCCGCGGGACCTGCCGGCCGGCACCACACTAGCCGTGGTGAATGACTCCACAGCTCGGGCAGTTCCTCCTTTGAAATCGTTATCCGAATTTTCATGTTTAGAGCAAGTGCTCTTTTGTCCACATTTCAAGTCTTTCCGCAAGCCTCGGGTGGTCGCCCAGGCCTGCGCGTTCTGCCTACAGGAGGAGGCTCCCTGGAAACAGGAAGCACGCTTGGGGTGCAAGTGGACTCCGCGGCGACCCCGCCCTGCCTCAGGCGCTGGGGAGCGTCTGGAGGAGCGGTGAGGACCTGGGCCGCTGCCAGTGATGGTCAGGGACTGGGCACCTGCCCAGGAGGCTGGCACATGTCCTGTGAGGCGGGGCACAGCCCCATGCAAGGGTCATCCTGGCCAGGATGTCCTCAGGGCTTGTCTGGAAGCACCTTCGCCCAGGGTCTGTCAGTCACACTCGGCCGTCCAGAAGGAGGGCCCAGGCCTCTTAGAGTGAAAAAGGACTCCGCGTGAGACATTCTGAAGCGAGACTCTCCCACAGGACGCTGTGGAGAGGTGACTTGCTGGGAAACACTTACTAACAGGGACTCGTCCTGGGAGCTGCCTGCGTTGCTGTAATGCTCCATGTCCAGGGCCACAATCCGGCCGTCTTTGAGGAACCCCACCTGGGGAGAGAGCTGACCGTTGACACTGGCCCAGCCACGGCTCCCAGGTGAGCGCCGTGCCTGGGAGAACCTGAGGTGTAGGACCGGGCAGAGGTTCCTAGGGCTGTACCCAGCTCCAGGGTCTCGGGGCAGCTATGGAACCTGGACAGATAAACAAGGTGTGCATGCACAATACACGCAAATCACAGGCCGCGGTGAGGTCCCACACGGAACACCGGTGTTGCCAGTGTTGCCACCCCAGGCTCACGGCCTCACTGTGCCAAGGTGACGCTGCACGGTGTGATCCAGCTCCCTCCGCAAGGTCCTGCGCCGGGGAAGGGCCCTGCCGCCTCAGTGTCCTGCTGTCCCTTCTCGTGCACACACGGCCCAGCTCGCACTGTGCCGCCCGATCTGCCCCTCCCTCCCCAACTCGTCCCCGGAATCTCCCAGCCCCGCTCACGGTTCCATCCCCACTGTGCTTGGCCCTTTCCCCACAACCCTCTCCTCTCCTCCCACCATCATCTCTTAGGTCCCACTGGGTCCTGTCTGACCGAGTGCGGCCTCCTGGTGCCCTGCCTGCCCCCTCCTGGCACAGGCCACGCTGCTCACTGTCACGTCACGGTCCCCGGCACACCCCAGTTGAGCTGCAGCACTGGACCAACGGAGCATTCACCCAGTCTCATTCTTGATTCTGAGACCAGGCGTACGCTTCCTGTCCTGCAGCTCCAGCATCGCCAACAGGACCAGCCGGATTCTCTCCGCCACAGCACGCTGCGTCCCAACTCCCCCCTTGGTCCCCGCCCCCAGCAGCCTGGTCCCCTCCACTCTGCAGGCACTGCTCCTTGTCTACCCCTCGAGTGTGTCCTGTCGTTTTGCCTGATCTCAGATGTCTCCTGCACGCTCGCTATCTGCCCCGTGGGGTTTCCAGATGAGCCTCCTCTCGTCACCTGCAGATCATACGGGTTCACGGTGACTTCTTCTTGTTTCTCTCCTCCCAGGGAAGAAACTCCCCTGACAAAGTTCACTCTAGGAAATCCTTTGACTGAACCAAGCCCAAAACTCAGCCTGGATATATCCGTGAGTCTTTAAGGCTTTACCCAGAAGCCCTGTGGGCTTCTCTCTTGGTCCTGGGCACACAGGGGGACTACCCTGCCCAGCCACCCTGGCAGCAGGTGGAAAAGTGCTGGCCAAACACGCCTGGGTCCTCCGTGGACAGGCCTGGTGCCTCACCACCTCCACGTGACAGTGCACCATTCTCCTGCCCTGTTGGCTGCCGGCCACACGGACCCTGTGGGCGTGTGCAGTCCCTGCAGAAGCTGCGCAACAGGACTTCCTGTGTGAGGGTGTCCATCCTGGCGGCCACTCAGCCTAGTGGGACCAAGCCCTGAACTGCGTGGTGGTTTAATGGAGTTGATTTAAAGGTGAATTGAAGCAGCCATGTGTGCCTCGTGGCTACCGTATCAGATGATGCAGTCCAGAGGATGGCACGGGGGCACCACCAATGAAATCAGAGCTCAGGTTCCTGAGTGGAGCCCTCCTCTCCCTCACCCCTGCCAATCACATCGGGCCATGACTTGAACACAAAATAACATCCTAAGATTAGGATCCTGAGAGTTCTGTTGTGTTATAGCAGTTAGTACAACTATCTCTTAAGAAGCAAAAGAATGATTATTTCCCACTATGAAAATGTGCCTAGGAATTTCTGGGACACAATTTTTAAAAATACCTTTGATGCATTAAAAGTGAGGCGCCCATTTGCAAACATTTGCAATGTTTCCATAACTCTATTGTTATGGGAATTATTCTATTTTACTTTTCTGTATATGAGAATAAGTATGGTTATCAGGTCAACTTTCATAGAAGTATATACTGGCGGGTTTTCCAATTTTTGACCCTGTAAAGCACAGAGATGGCTGGTATTTCTTCCTTTGGGCAAAGGAGAAAAGTGTCCTGAGCCATCCAGTAACCGATGTACTGGCAGCACAGGCACAGCGGGGTGGGCACCATGCACCGACTTGCCCTGGACGCTCCCCGCCGGGAGCAGCGCTGCAGCCGCATCCCCTCCCTCTGCCCTGCACTCACCTTGTACTTCCCCAGGTACGGGTGGCGGCCCCCGGTGATCAGCATGTCCTCTCCTCGTTCCAGGATGCAGCGGACGGCACGGCCGTGTCTGAGCAGAAGAGGAGCGAGGTGAGCTCCCACAGTGGCATCCTCTGGGAGGCACCGTGGCGCCCACACGCTGCCTCCGATGGACACCAGGCTCTGCTCACCCTGCCCTGCTGACCCCGGCACGCGTGGCCTCCCTTCCCTCTGGGCCAGGGCTCGGCACTGCAGTAGGCTTTCCCTCTGCTGCAGGAAGGTGGCCCAAGGCCACGCACCAGACTGGTGACAAGTGGCAGAGCCAGGTGGGTCTGGACCAAGGTCTTTTCCTCCCAGGACGGAGAACCTGGCAATGCCACTGGACAGAGACAATTTCCCACGGTAGTGTTTAAGATCCCCGGAAGCAATCGGCAACACAAATAGATGCAGTCCAGCCAGAGCAGTGGCCACGAGTCAGTGTTCCAGGTCAGGCCGAGACCCCCACACGCGTGGTACCCCAGCAGTGCTGAGGGCCAGGGCAGCTTCCTGTCCACTTTCCAGGCACCATGCTAGTTCTGATGTGGCTTTATTCCATTCAGTAGTGGATTCTTATTTTGTTCTCATAGTACATGGCTGGAAAACTGGGACTAATGGAACCGTAATAAGCCCTCAGCGCGTGTGTGTGCTGTGTGGGGTTTCAGTAACCTCGTTAACCTGGACACTGGGGTCTCCTGGAGGCTTCACCTTAGTGAGTCAGCGCTTTCCCCACTTACTTGTGGGCGGCGAAGGCCGTCACAGCTGCCAGGATGCTGGTCTTCATTACCTTGCCCCCGAACGCCCCGCCAACGCGCCGCACGTGACACATGACCTTGTTAGCAGGCAGCTTCAAGGTTGAGGCCACCACGTCCTAGGAACGACAGAAGCTTTCAGCAAGGACTTGCCACTGCCCCACGACCTTAAAGAGAAACTGAGCCCCGAGGCAGAAGTGTGACCATCACTGCACGCTGCCGTGGTGCCGAGCACAGAAAGCTGCAGCCTCGCAGGCTTCCCCCGCAAGGCTCAGCGACCCCTGCTACGAGGACACCACCTACACTACTATTAGGGAGCCCTCCAATTGCCATGGGACACTAGAAACTCTTTATGGTTTCCCCTCAAACTACGCCCAGAACGTCCCTGCCCACTAACCCCAGGGCTCTGCTTCCACAGCAGTGAGGCTCGGGAGCTCTCCCTGCAGGGCGCTGGCCCTTCTCCCCCTTGGGTCTTCCTGGATTCAGTCCCCTTCTTCGGCACCCCTAATGTTTAGAGTCCTTTAGTCTTAACAACTGATTCATAGCTGGGGAGCCGAGGTGCATGGCCCCAGGGTCCCATGGGGGAACGGACGGCAGAACAGCACAGGGACAGACCCAGCGGCCGTGCCCCAGGCTCCACTGTCCACAGGCTTTGTGCCCCTGCTCTTCCGGTGACAGCACGGCCAGCTCGCTGCGACCTACGGAGTCCGCTCCCTCTGTAGGTGGCTCCCGCCTTCCTGGCGCCTAGCTCAGTCTCCTAAATGCGCCTTCCCAACTCCAGCTCTCCAGGGACCCCTGTGCCCCGCCCTGGCCCTCCACCCCCATCCTCCTGTCCTCCCCTCCACTGGGCCACTCCAGACTCAGGGCCTCCTTCTCAAGAAGACGCTGCCCTGGGCGTCCACCCCTTCTCCTGATTCGGGCCGTGCACGCTGCCTTGGCTGACGGCGCCTGGCTGCACCTGCTCTACACGCCAGGGGCAGGGCGGGCCTTCCTCTGTTGTTTCCTCGACGTTGCCAAGAACACAGCAGAAGATGCACACTGACTGTGTCACTGGTTTGAAGCTATGGATCCGCAGAAGACGGCGCCTCTTCAGAGTTTTAATAAACTTGAACTTAAGAGATTTAATAAAAGTCTCAAAATCTGGAAATGGCGCGGCCCTCCACGTCAGTGTGACTGTTAGTACTCAGAATCTCCTCAGCGCCTAAGGGACTGACTTTGGTCCCTGACCACTCTGGCACATTTTCTGGCAGAAATCACCCGTCCGCGTCCCTGCGCAGTGCCCACGTTACCTGGACATACTTGGGGAACTGTGTGGACACGTAGACATCCATCTCCTGGTCCTCACCCTTGGGGACAACCAGCATGCTTTGGGTTTCCATGTAGAAGTGCTCCTGGCCGCCCATATGGACTGCGCCTGTCAGGAAAGCACTCGGAAGTCACGGAAGCAGCCAGGGGACAGCAACGCCCCCTGTTACCCTGAAGGTGGAGCCCCGCCGCGCCCGCCCGAAGCGCCAGCAGTGTGTGGCCTCTGACGGGAGGGGAGCGCAGAGCGAGCCGCTCGCGACCTGCCGACTTTCCGGGGCACCATGGCGAACCAGAGCACCAGGGCAAGCAGAGGTTTGGTTCCAAGACGAGATGGGGTGGATGAGCTTCTCCCCGACCCCTGCTAAGTACAGCCAGGCCCTGAACCTTTCCACAAGCAGTGCGCAGGCCGACCACACCAAACAGGGCCATGTGTGCCAAACCCAGCTAAAATGTGTCACGGGGCCGTGGGACAAGACACCTGGGTCACACTTTCCCGCCCCCAAAGCAGCTCACAAGCCCAGCCCAAAGCCACGAGGCCGAGGCAGGACTCCAAGACCCACCGCGGGTGGGCAAGGCCACCACACCCGGTGGCCACAGCCCCGCAGTCCAGCGAGATTTCCTCCTGCACAGCTTGCCCGGCCTCCTCTTTCCCCAGAAAACCCCGACTTTTCTTCGTTCTCTGGACACAGCAGAGCCGCCCTTGGTCTGCCCCCGCCCCCGACATTGCACGTCTGCTTCTTGCACATTATTCCCAGACAAACCCCAGCAGAAGACTGACAGGCAGAGAGGGTGACGGGTGGGGACAGCCAGGCCCCAGTGAGACGCAGCTGTGGGCTCACCGCTGGCCCTGTGCACCCCGTCCTGCCTGTGCAGAAGCCAAAACCCCGCTGGCAGAGGTGGAAGAAAGCCCTGCAGAGCCTGTTCTCAGTCGCCGGGCTCAGCAGAAGGGCACCGCGGGAGACCAGCTCCACGGAGACAGCACGCACGAAACTGACTGAGCTGTGCAGAGACTCAGCCGCCCCCGGAGCCGCAGGGGAGCCGGGCTGTGACGAGCACCCCAGTCCCACACCAGCAGTAGCCTGTACTCCAGCCCCACCTGGCAGTAAGCATCAGCCCCTCGTTCCGCCAGCACGGGGTCAGGTGTGGTGGAAGATTCAAACAAGACCCAGAGTCCCAAACAGACACCCAAATGTCCCGGGAGTGAGGGGCCACTCGTCACCCCAAGAGCCGGGAAAAACTCAGCTTCCACGGGAAAAGACCCAGAGTGACCAGGTCTGAGACTGCTGACAAGGACAACAAAGCAGCTGTGGTGCAAACGCCTCCGAGCAGTCATCAAAATACGGAAAGTCAGCATAGAAACAGGAGGCCAAAACATACAGGGAAGCCTTTTGCTGCGGAGTACGGAAGAAGAACTGGAAATGTAAATGCTTCACGCGCGGGCTCAGCAGCAGAACAGGGAGAGCAGAGGAAACGGCCAGTGAACAAGATTGGGAGAACAAACCAGCTGGTCTGCTCAGCAGGAAAAAATAGACTGGAAAACATGAGTGGACCTCGGAGCCCTGTGTGGCCGAAAGACATCTGACTTTGTGTCACCAAAGCCAAGCGCTGGGGGAAGCAACAGCTCGATGTTCCCAGACTTCGCAGGAGACACAAACCTCAGACTCGACGCTGAGCGACCCCACTGGACAAATCCAAAGGGATCCACGCCGAGACACTTCATACTCGAACCTCAGAAAACTAAAGACAGAAGGAAAAATCCAACGCTTTCTTGAAAGCAGCGAAATGCCACCTCATCTGGAGGACAGCCGGTTTCTCAGCAGAGGAGTGGACGCTGTTTCCAAGAGCTGAGAACCCGCCAGCTTGGAAGTCTAAACCCAGAGGGAATACTCAGCCTTCCAGAAACAGACCGGAAATGATTTAAAAAATAAAGATCAGAACATCAGCAAGCAAGAATGAATGACAGAAAGAATAAAAATATAATAGACTTCCCTTCTCCCCTTGAGTTTTTAAAACTGTGTTTAAAACAAAATTATAGCATTGCTTCACAGGGCTCTAGTGTGTGCAAAGGGATACCGAAGACAGCGATCACGTGTCCTAGGGCTGGGCAGAACAGAAGGGAGGAAAGGGAGGGCAGGGTCTACACGCAACGGGTGCTGACAGCACGGGAGGCAGAGGTGACAGAGAAACACCGCAGCTGCCTCGGAAGGGGCAGTCCCCGGGACGACATCCACGGGAACACACCGCATGCGTCAGAGTGGAGCTCCACAAACCGGACCCCAGCTCTGCGGAGGAGGAGGAGGAGGGCAGGAATGAGCAATACCAACACGGTGGCCAGCCCGTGGAGGCGGCGGCAGAACTGCCTAAAACTAAAACTGGGCCCCATAGTAGTGATTTACAAGCCGCCTGAGCGATAGTCCCCAGGAAGTATTCTGTGTGGACTCTGGACTTCCTGTCTTCTCCAAGATCTGACTAAGGAAAGAGCAGAAAATGTAACACAGAGCAAACATCTCACGCACGCCCCGACCGTGAGGGAGGAGCAGAGAGCCGGGAGATTCCGCCCGAAAGAAGAGCACATCAAGACGTCGCAGCCTGCCGCCCCCTGCGCAAGCTCCGAGGACCGCGGAGCCCCGCGCCCTTGGACTTGATTGTGAGGCACTCGCTTCAGAGTGAGCCGGGCTGCTCTGTGAGCCGGGCGTCCACCGCCCTGCAGCCTGCAGCAAGGCGCAGCTCTGGGCCACCGGAAGTGAGACACAGGCTCACACGCCGGGCGACTCCGAGGGCACTGAGACGGAGATGGACGGGGCCGGTTGGACCTGTGGGGACGGCGTCCAGTGCCGGGTGCCCTGGTCTCCCATGAACCCCACCCATGCACGTGTGTGGGGCACCTGCACCAGGGGGCGACTATCACACGGCCCCAAGACACGCCCCAGGCCCCCGGCTGCTTCACCTCGGAGAACCTGATCCGCAGTCTGAAACGCCGCCTCCAGGTCCCCACTCTCCAGCTTCCTCTCCGCCTCGAAGAAGGAGTCGTGCTGGATAGCTTCCTAGAGAGAACGGGAAACTGAGGCCAGGCAGGACCAGGAGCCCCCGCCTCCTGCCTGGGGGACCCAGGCTCCGCAGGAGGGGTGCAGCACCGCCCACAGCTGGGGGTGCGCTGGCACAGGGCCTGGTGGGTCTTCTCCCATCCCTGAGATGCACACCCACACTGCCCACGCTGGGTCACCGTCCATCCTGAAGTCTTAGCCTGTGGCCACTTGGGAATTGTGCTACCTCTGGCTGCCCCTGCCTAGCCACACACCTAACAGGGTCGCGCAGCGATCCTGCTGCTTCCTCCTCTGAAAAGGAAGTTTGTCTGTTTTTACCACCAAAGGACCCAGGCTCCCCAACAGTGTTTGTTGACTGGCCCTACAACTGTTCTCTGTGTGGCCTTGGGTAACCGGGGCTCTTAGTTCCTCAGCAGAGGGAGGATCATCCACACAACTGTTCTGGGCAGCAGGAGTCACTGAGTGAGGCCGAGAGGCCCGAGCGGCTGGAGATGAGGGCGGCGGGGCGAGGAGGTGGGGGAGCTCGCTGTCTGCATCCTGTGTGCAGTCTGCCGCCCTGTATTGCAGCCCGGCCAGAGCTCCTCGCCACACCAAGCTCTCTGTGAGGCATATGCCAGGCTACACTGCAGCAGCAGTGACAGACATGTGTCTGCTTCAGCCACAGGCTGGATCGTTTATCTGTACACCGCCAGGCCCCACGGCCAGAGGTCAATCGTCACCAGACTGACGGTGTGACGCTGAGTGGGTACCGTGGGACAAATGCCTGCCGCTGGCTTCCACCTTGGGCTCGCGGGGTGCTTTCCCAGCCCCGGGCTGCTCGCTAGCGCGATTCACGACAGATGCAGTCACATGCTCTCTGCCCATTAGAGACTCGGGGACTCCAAGCTGAAAAAGCTCAGTTTGTGCGTCCCACCCTTAGAAGTTTGATCCTGCCAGCGTCAGCGTCACCAGAGTAACAGGGTCAGTGTCTGAACGTCCTGGGTGAGGGCGGCAGTGCCGGGATGGCAGAGCCTGGGTAGGCCCACTTGGTCCCTGAGGGCCAGGGCCTTGGTCCCCACAGGCTGGGCACTCTGTCCCCGCGGGCCGGGTACTCTGTCCCTGCGGGCCCGAAACTTGGTCCTGGCGGGCCAGGCCGGCGCTGCCTCCTTGCCATGCAGCTTGGGCGCTGACAGACAACAGTCCGCTGCGGTGCGGAGCGCGTCTGTGGTTTGGATCTTACTTGGCTGGGGACGGGGGTGGGGGTGGGGCTGGTGTCCAGCTCAGAATTTCAGAGGAAGAATCTCAGCTCAGAATTCCAGCTCAGAATCTCTGATGAAGTGCTGGGTGAGTGATGGCTGAACGAGAGGAGTTCCAGCCTAGACGCAGCCCGGGAAGGAAAGGGCGCAGTGGGCGGGAGCCACGGTACGCCGAGGCCGGGCAGGACCAGCGCTGGGTCTGAAACTTGCCTGGACTCTCGGCCTGGTCATGCTTTCACTATGCCAGCTTTCTAGATTTTTGTCTGATTGGCTCAATTCTATTTTAATTTTAAGATACTAAGGCGATTTCCCAGAAACAAATGCCGTGCTTCTAGGTGTGCAGCGGCAACGCCAAGGCCAGGCTCCCTGGTGACGGTGGCTCGGCCGGGTCCTCCCTCTGATCCAGCTCTGTGTCCCCGAGCACACAGCCTGTGCGCCAGCAGATCCAGCCCCTGCGTGCGGTTCCCCTCATTACTCAAGACACTAGGAGCCCAGCGGAGGTGCGCAGAGATGAGCCCACGACCCAGACGCACTTCCAACCCTGACCTAAACATGGGGCAGCAGACGCGGCTCTGCTGCGTGAGGCCTCTGTCCACAGGCTCTCTGTCCACACCCTTCACAGCCTGCGTTCGAGAACTAAGCAGAACTAAACTCGGAGCCTGCAGGATCTGCCTGGGGGCACTAACGGGGCTCCCCGAGAGCCGGAGAAGGTGGAGGACCGCAGCTGCAGGAAGTCCCTGCCCCGGCCACTGTGGCTGCTCCTGGGCTCCCCCTGCCACACCTGCCCCCCCAGTGCTCACATTTGCCCCTCGGTCCCCATCCCCACACCAAGCTCCAGAGAATCTGATCATGCTCAGCGCCCCCAGGGACCTCTGCTGGTCCCTGTGACCCAGAGGCCTAGCTGGACCTGCACAGTCGGGTCCCCTTCCCATGGGGCCCGAGCCGGCCCTTTCCTGGCCTTGTCTGTGAGCACAGGGGGCAGAGCCCGACGGCTGGTGGAGAAGCCGCTGCCTAGGAATCACGGGTGTGGTCTGGGGCCAGCAGAGGCTGCCTGGGTGCCGCTCTGGAGCTGGCCTTTCCCAGCCCACTCGAGAGCTTCCTAACAGACGCCCACCGATGTCTCCTCCCCGAGGGCCCGCTCAGGGGCTTGGGCACTGTCACCTCGATCGTGAGGATCAGCGGCTCCAGGTCCTGGTAGACGATCCTCACTTTCTCAGCAGCTTGTTTTGCCTGAGCCTCAGACTCTGCGATGACGGCACAGACGAGGTGACCCACACACAGCACCTAGACAGAGACTGTCGTCAGGCACAGGGAACGGCCCTCTCCTTGCTTCCTCTTGCCCAAGCTGGCCACACAGTGAGTGACCGCATCCCATCTGCCCTGCCGCTGAACTGCTGGCTGGCTGGCCCCGCACCTGGGGGTGGCATCTCGGGCAGCGTCCTGGGCAGGGATGGCCCTGAGGGTGAGGAGAAGCCGGGCCATGGGGGGCTGAGTGTGGGCTGCCCTCGTGGCTGTGGCTGGCCCCGCACGATCGGGGACCCTGCGAGAGGCTGAGCTCGGTGGGGCCAGGGGCTCAGGAGGCTGCTCTGTGGCAACAGCACGTAGGCCTCTGCCTGCGAGCCATGCCGGAGCCCAGCTCAGTGGGAAACGGGGACCCATAGCCGGGTGGGGGAAGCTGAGCACTCCTTTCTTCCTGAGGCTGTGGCCAACGACACTGCCCTGCAGGGCCCAGGATGCACAGGAGGTGGGCGGTGGGGGAGGAATGACAGGACATCAATCCCTCTCTCCTGCTCACACCAGGGCTCATGCTCAGGCACACTCACTGGGCCTCAGGCCTATTATGGACTACTAGGTCTTCACAATGGGTAGAATTTTTATCCCCAGAAAAAGTGGCGTCAAGCAGAGGGCAGGGCTCAGCGGAGAGTGCTAGGCCTGCCTAGCACCACGCCCAAACCAGCACAGGTGTTACACCCTGAGTCCTGCCCTTGGGGTGCTGTGGGTGGACAGCGGGGAGAGGCTGATGCCTGATGCTGCTGAGCCTGGCCCGGGATCCGCAGCACTGCGAGACGCAGTTATCTGTGTTCACAGCCCCTGCGATGAGATTTCTTGACGCCATAAAGAGCCACCGTGAAGGCGAAAAGGGAACTAAACCCAAGGCTCAGGTCCAAGAGCTCTGTTCCTCGCTTGACCAGTGCAGACGCGGTGCCTAGCCGTGACTGAGAGAGCCGGCCAGGGCCGCTGGGTCAGTGAACACTTAGGCCACAGCGGTGACCTCATCAAGTGCATCTGCCAGACAGAGGCAGGGCAGGCCCGCTCTGAGTCACGAGCCCGTGGGGCGGGCAGAGCTGTGAGGAAACCTGTGTTTCCTGGTCCCTGGGGTCCAGGCGCCCGGGTCCAGGGTCTGACGCATTCAGACGACAGCAGCACCATCCAGCTGTGTGGGGAGCAGGTATGGAAGATGTGAAGGAAACGGGTGAGGTCCTAGCGAGGCAGCCATGGCTAGGGGAAGCTACGAATGAGCTTCACATAGGACAGGACGCACCCGAGACCTGCTTGTCTCCTCCTCTGCGCCCTGAGCTCTAGGAAGGCTGGGCTACATGTCTCGTCAGCTGTGGGAACTGGACATAACAGATGCTCACTTAAACACACCCACGGGCCATGTGTGGTGTTGCACGCCTATAAGGCCAGTTCTCTGAAGGCTGAGGCAGGAGAATCACAGGTCCTGCCAGATTTTGGTCTGGCAATTTAGTAAGACCCTGTCTCTAAATAAAAATAAAAAGAGATGGGGTGTGGCTCAGTGTGAGGGCCCTGGATTCAATCCCCAGTACCAAAAACACAACACAACACATCACAAAACAAAACAAAATAGCCCCCTGAGCACAAGTCAGTAGGAGTGGAAGATCCGGATGAGCTCGGGAGGGAGCTTTCAGGGGAACTCTGGGTGGAGATGCCCTGCGAATTTGCACCTGACTTGGGTACACACCAGGACGAGAGCAGTGGCAGGGACTCCCAGGGGAGGCACCTCGAGCCAGTGACCGTAATTCCCGGGGCACTGTCTTCCAGGCCTGGGGCGGTGTGCTCCGTTACTCCTAGAACCTCCTACTAACCCACCAACGTCCTTACTTCTGTGGGAAACGAATCTATTCTGAGCTTACTCAGTAGCTAACAGAACGTTTTATCACGAGCAAAGTATATCAAAATCTTCTAGGATGTTCGAGTCAGGCGTTATCTTTGAGAAAACAGAAAACACTGCTAACAAAAGAAGCTACTTTTTGAACAGGAAGCCACATCACAGTACCTTGTCTGTCGCCAGCAACGTCTCGTTGTCGAAGGAGTTTGCGTCCCCAAGGTGCTCAGCGGTGACAATGTCCACCACCCCCGGCAGGCTGAGCGCCTCTGACAGATCCATGGAGCTGCGGGGACACGGGCACCGGAGCACGGAGACCGAGGGGCACAAGGCGGGCAGAAGTGAGACATGAGAGAGGGAGGACACGTCAGAGCCCCGCTCCGTAATGCTCTTCCAGGACTGGGACCAACGTGGGGTCCCCAGGCTGCGAAGGAGCGGGAGAGAGCAGACCCTGCACTGCTGCCCCGTCTCCCAGCCAGTCCTCAGCAGCCAGCGCCTCCCACTCCCCACCTCTCCTCGCTGACCTGACAGGACGGGGCGGGGTGGAAAGCCAGGCTCCACACTCACACGATGGCAGCGTGGGCCCTTGAGCTGGTCACGAAGGCCAAGCTGAGCTCCCGGTCCACTGCAGGCATGTCGTCACAGTAGATGGCTTCCCCAGTGGCGTGCTTGACCCCCGAGAGGTGCATGATGGGGCGGCCAATGGGGTCCTGAGGAAGCTGCTTGGGGTCCACATTCTGTGTGAGAAGCATTGGTGCCCACCTTCAGATTCCACTGGAAGGCAGGGCAGGCACACTGGGGCCGCCCAGAAGAGGCTGCCCGCGTGAGCTGCACCCAGCTGAGCGCCTCCGAGGAACAGTCCCTACTCAGGGTCGGCAGGATGACAGGCCATTGCAACCACCCCGCAGGCACACTGGACAGGACAGCGCCAGGTGGGGGCTTCCCGCCTTGTCTGAACACAGGCCCCAAACATGAGTGAGTAAATGGATTTAAGTGTTTCTGTCGACGCGAAGTCAGGTTCTCTCGCCGACACTCATGTGTGCTTGTTTGTTTGTTTATTTATTAAAAAGGAGCATTGAGTTTGTTTATTTATTTATTTATTTATTTTTCCGGTACCGGGAATCGAACTCACGACCTTGTGCTTGCCAGGCAGGCACTGTGTGCTGAGCTACATCCCCAGCCCCTCACATGTGTACTGACGGCTCCACCAAGCCGTCTCACTGCCGTCTGTGCACAGGGCACACAGCACTTTGCGGGGGAGCGCGGGAATCGCGTGGCCTACCCTGAGGAGGAAGTCCGAGAAGGCTCCCGCAGGCCGTGCTGTGCTGCGCACGCCTGCTGCCAGAGACCTGTGCTCATCGGCTCCTGGCTCTGTGGGAGCCTGAAAGGTCTGTCTCACCAGTGAGGTGCAGACCGAGCGCCACGACCCTCTGGTGTGTCACGGACAGAGACAGCACTGGAGCCACCCTGGCTGGTGGGCCAGGGCGCAGAAATGGGGGAGACCGCGTTTACAAGACGCTGCATACCCCAGCTGCAAAATGCACGTTTCACCCTCCACCAATCACGGCCAAGGAGGGGAGAGCGGGGCAGGGAAAGAAGGGGAGGGGCGGGTGAGAGGACGGAGGGGAGGCCAGAGTGAAGCACTTGGGCCGGGCCTTTTTCACTTCCTGGCCGTGAGACACACAGCCTGGCCACTGTGCACCCCGCCTTTGCCAGCCAGCACTGTGTCCAAGGGCTAAAGCGCTATCCTGGACCACAGCCGGGATTGGCAAAGTCAGGAGCCAGGCTGGAGTTCTGGATGCTGCCCAGGCAGTGGGTCAGTTGCTTTCCAGACGCACAGACTGGCTTGGGAAGACGCTCGCTCTCAGGGCTGAGGTTGCGCTAACAACACCGACACTGGTGTGTGTATGAAGAGAGTGGGAAAAACCAGAACAAAACCCTGCGTGGGACGCACTGCACCAGCCCACTGCCCTCCTGGCTGTCCCTGGTGGAGGCCCCCAGCGTCTCTGCGAGACTGAGCACCCACTGTCATGCGGCGTTCCTTTCCGAGTTCTGCCCTTGCCAAGGCGACGTCAGGGGATTCTAAGTCAAATTGACGTTGTCATTTTCTACCCAGTGCCGGGGAAGACGGCAGCTGTTTTTAACTTTCAGGATGCTCACTTCCCATGCAGTTTGCATATTTGAATTTTTTAAAAGCCACAAGAGATACACAGCGACTTCAGCATTCCTGCAACACACTGTAAGCTTTTGTAACAAAGTCCAACCACAGATTCAGTGAGCTGGTGTTTTAAAAACTCTCTGCTTGTTCTTCACTTAAACTCTCAAGGTCAAGGTTTCTTGACAATAATGTCAAGGAGAAACGTGCCAGACCTTACCCAGCTTAGCGGCAGGGTGGCGTCAGAGACTGTTTCACGATGTTCCAGCAGAAGCGCCATGGGAGAGTTAGGAGTTTAGTTCTCTCTAACAGGAAGGCTTGCAAATAGCTGTTAGCACTCCTGTCTGATCTGACTAAAATGCAACTCACAGAAGAGCCACAGGACAGGAGGGCGTGCGTGCATGTGCGTGCGTGTGTGTGCGTGTGCGTATAGCTCACTTTTGGACAAAACAAAGCAGCAGCTTGTGAACAGCACCCCATCCCCGCTGGCTCTGGGTGACAGAATGAACCCAGAGTAGCCCAGGGCCCAACGCAAGCCGTCCTGGATCTCCAGCTACACGCAGAGCTGGGCAAGCCAGCGGGCATGCTGGGGGGCGGGGCACAAGGCCTCGGGACAAAACGCAGGGCTCTAAGGGCAACAGCAACATTTTGCTTTACAGTTACCATTGCTGGATTTGCTTTTTGGTCACAGCTCCTCTTTGGTTTTGACATTTTTTTCCAGAGCTGGGGACTGAAAGGAGGGCCTCTTGCACTCTAGGCAAGCCCTCCACCACTGAGACACCCCCACCAGGTTGGAGATTTTAACCAACACTAAGGGATGCTGTGAATTCCTGAGAGCAGCATGGGCATGTGCAGCGGGGAGTCCTGGAGAGGCCCAGTCTCTTTGAGTAAGCAGAAGCCACTTACCTGGTACTCGAAAGTCCTCCTGTGCTGTCCGAGATGGAGTTCTTCTAACGCACCCTCGTACTTGCCTGCCAGGCTGCGATAGTGACCTGGGTCCTGCAAAGCAGAGCAGCCTTTGCTTCACACACCCTCCAGCATGATCTCAGGAGGGAGGCGAGCCGGGTCCTTGGCCAGGGCCTCCGCCCTGAGCACTGATGCCCTGCTCTGAGACCTTCGAGTGCAGCTGACCCCGCCCCAGAGATGCGCCCCTTCAGGGAGCACGGGCTCCCACAGCATGGGCCACTGGTATCCACTGTGTCCGTGTGCATCCTGGTTCCCTAGTGCTCTGTTTTCTGTGAGATCTGAGAACTCACACCAGCACCGCAGGAAGACAGAAGCTAAGTCAGAAAACAAAGGGAGAGTACTGAACCCAGGAAGAGCTTGGAGCCAACCACACCACTGAGAACGCTCGTGGAGCCCTTCCTGGTCCCGTGGTGGGTGGAGGGGACAGAGGCAGTGTCCCTGCCACCACCCACAGAGGGACACACTTGATCCTCAGAGCCCCTCCGGGAGCTGAGGGGAGTGGCCACTCTGGTCCTCAGAGGCTTTGATCAGTGTCCCTGAGGTTAGGCTTTATGACTTGAGTAAATTTAGTGGAAAGCCAGCAAGGCCAGCAAAGGTTATTACTTTCAAAGAAAGGAGGCTGGACAGAAGGTACAAGACTTCAAGGCAGAAGTTTTAAAGTAGGGCACTTGGCTCACTGTGCAGCTGGATTCACTTGTGACCGGGGGAGGAGTCCTCGGCTGGCCAATGTTTTCACTTTTGGTGACTGAGTGACAGCGTTGCTCATCTACGACCTGAGGTTTGCACCCTAAAAAGCTGAGAGAGCCTCTGGGTCTTAGCTGTCCCATTTACAAGAAGACGCCTCCAGAAGGAGGAGAGAAAAGCGCCTGTCTCCTAGTGATGCCACGTGCTCATTTCCATGCCACACAAAGTCGGGCGGTCAGCCACATGTGGCCCGGGGCTAATGGGGACGGTAAGGCTCCAGCTCCCTGTGGCTCTGCTGGGTCTTCTGGAAGGTTCTCTTCCAGTCGTGTTCTCCTGGCCCACAGTCCTGGAGGTCTGACTGTTGCAAGGGGGACCAGGAGAAGGACTGCCGGTCACCACCACTGGGCGCCCCTCTGGTGCACAAGGGACCGAGGGAGCCCTTCCCAGGCTGACCCTGTCTGTCACTGTCATCCCACACGAGGGACATGAAGCTAAACGAGAAGAAAGCCTGGCCCAGGCAGAACAAGTGGAGAGAGCACGTCCCCATTAGCAGCAGGTGCTTGGACAGTATCTGAACAGCAGTGGGCCAGGAGCAGAACCGGGGGGTCAAACAGAACCCGCCCATCCCTGCTGTAGCTATAGGGCTCCCCAGGGCACCCATCCACCCGCCTCAGACCTTCGGTGCCCACAGCATCAGCCAGGCTGGGTCACCACAGGCCAGGGCCACCGGGCCACCTACCATGCGGCTCAAGCTCTGGGACACCTGCAGGTAGAACCTGAACAGGAAGCTGACCAGCAGGGTCCTCCGGAACTCCACCCTGCCGCCAGGGGCCGGGCCGGGGATGGCGACCTCGCCCAGGACCAGCCTGCAGGCCTCGTCCAGCGTCTCCTCGGTCCAGGGCCTGGAGAGAGTGCGGAGGACAGGACTCAGCCTCTCGCAGGCTCTGCTGCTGCTCCGAGCCGGGCGTCACCACCGTCAGGGCATGGCCCGGCCTCCGCGGCCTCCCTCTCAGCCCGGGGGCAGCAGCGGCCCTCCCGCCACCAGGACATCTGATCACGCCAGGTTCCGGGGGTCTGCACTCGCTCGGGTCTCTCAGTTTCCCGGGGTGGGTGTAACTATCCACGTATGACACAAAAGGAAGCTGAGGTATCAGGAGGTGAGATGAGCTGACAGAGGCCAACGCAAACCTCGGGTCATTGACAGCAAGATGTGGAGTGACCGTGGACGCCCACCGGGAGCCCTGGCGTGGACAGAAAGCTCTGCGCGTCGCCTCCCGCGGTGCCGTGGGTGGGCGCTGCTGCCCGTCTCTCCGCACTTACCTTCCCACGAGCTTCTGGCAGGTGTCCCTGGCACAGACGGTGGCCGGGCCGACTCCTCCGTACAGGATGGAAAGCTCCGTAATGACCCCGTCCCCTCCTCCGAAGAAGACCCTCAGCCCCACGTTCACGATGGCTAGCGCGTTCCGTTTCCGCTGTGCTTGCCGGAAGGCAGACACGAACTCCCACTGCAAGGCACAAGGCGCCGCAGTGGAAATCAGAGGGACGAGCACGTGCTCGGACGAGGCAGCGCCCCTCGCCTGGTGCCTCCCATCGCCTGCGCTGTCCCGCGAGGCCCGAGGAGCCCTAACTCTGGTACCCCAGAAGGTGGCTACCACAGGGCGCGGCCTGAAGAGTGGTGCAGGCGCGGCCTAGGCCCCGAGGCTGAGCAGGGGCCGCGGGTGTGGGAGAGATGGGGGCGGCGCAGAAGCCGCGCTGCCACGCCCTCCCTGCAGCGGAGCCTCGACTGAGCGGCGCAGTCTCCCCTCAAGCCCTGGCTGTGGGCCTGCTGCGGCAGCAGGATGGGCTCGGGGCAGGCGAGGTCCTTCCCACGTGAGGGGGCAGCTGCGGCCGGAGAGACACAGCCAGGACTCGACCTGCGCATGCGCGCAACACAGCCAGGACTCGACCTGCGCGTGCGCGCAACACAGCCAGGACTCGACCTGCGCGTGCGCGCAACACAGCCAGGACTCGACCCCGCGTGCGCGTCGGCTCCCACGCGGCCCTGGCCTCTCCCACAGGTCCCCTGCAAGTGCAGTTGTTCACCTCTTTCAAGCCCAAGATGTAGCTGAGGGGAGGTGCCTGTGTGTTTCATTTAGGAAAAGCTTTCGAATCTATTAGTTTGGGACGAGGGAAGGGAAGGGTCCTGTCATGGTTGATACGCTGTGCCCACTTGAGGAGTCCAGGGGCTTGGCTGAGTGACTCAGCAGCTCGTGTCCTGGGGTGAAAAGGACACGCCCTGCTGCTCTAGGGCGTTTTTGGGTATCCATCCTGAGCCTGTGCCAGAGGAGGGCACTGAGATGCTGTGGGCGTGGGCGGGTAGCCCGCATACAGTGTAAGGGAGGAAAAGAGGCTCCTTCATCTCTCCCTTTTTTGCTCTTGCTGCTTTTGCTGTTTTTGCCGCCATGAATGGCTGCCCTCTGCCATGTGCCACCCTGCCTTGGAGCCAGCCGAGTATGGACTGAAACCTCCACAAACTGCGAGCTAAATAAACCTTTCCTTCCTTAATTCTAGGTGTCAGGTGTTTTGTCTCAGCAGCAAAAGTAACCAAGACAGGTCCCCTGAAAATGACCCCTTCACACTGCTTCCTGAGGCCTAACCTCCATCTCCCTGTGAGCATCCGGCCCTTTTTCTGAGCCATCCTCCATGGGAATAAGGAGCTTAGATCACTGGGCGACCAGATGTCCTTACCTTCCGGGAGTAGGGGACGGTCACGGACAGCAAGACCTCCTGAGGCCTGAGGTCTGCACTGGGACTCCTGCTGAGGAAATGCTCGTCCAGCGGGATCTGCCGGGCTCCTTCTGCAGAGAGAACAGTCATTTCCAGAGCTGCACTGCCCTCCTCCAAGAGAAAGGGCTGGGAGCAGCCTGCCTCACCTTCCGACAGCACGCTGAGGGTGCAGTTGCCTGCAGCCAGGACGGGATTCAGATCTGAGTCCAGATGCCTGCTCACGATGTGGCCCCCTAAAGACTTAAAACAATGAGTTATTTTCACCGCTCCCTTGTAATTACCAAAAACAGTGCTAAAATAAGAATTAAGTGAGAAACTTAATTTGGAGAATTGTCTTTCTGCCTGTTTCAAAGAACAAAATGATTCCTCTGGGAGAATGAGCCCAAGTGCACATGCCAGAGTGTACAGTCCTCAATACATACAGCCATGTTCCTGATCTGCGACCCAGCCAGAGTCTGCAACTGCTTCAGGAGAGCGCGGAACGTCTGTGTCTTCTCTTCTGGGAGCTGCCGGACCACATCAGCCAGGACATCCTGCACCTGAGCCAGGCTTAGGCCAGCACCCAGGGTCAGCCCTGAAACAGAGACACTTGTAAACAGAGCCATGCAATCACTGCCAGTTAGACCACAGATACAGGCACGGAGCCTTTTAAACCAGACACGCCCAGTTATTCATGTTGTGGTGACGGAGATGGTCAAGGTGATGGCGGTAATGGAAGTGGTGATGACAGAGGCAGTGGAGTTGGTGGGGTGACGGTGATGGAGGTGGAGGTGAGTGAGGTGGTGGAGGTGAATGGTGATGGAGATGGTGGTAATGGAGGTAATAGAAATGGTGGAGGTGATGGAGGTGGTGGAACTGATGGTGATGCAGGTAGAGGTGATGGCGGTGATGGAAGTGGTGGAGGTGATGGAGGAGGTGATGGAAGTGATGAAGATGGAGGTGATGGAGGAGATAATGGATGTGGAGGTGATGAAAGAGGTAGTGGTGATGGAGGAGGTGATGGAGGTAGTGGTGATGGAACTAGTGGTGATGGAGGAGGAAGTGATAGAAGAGGGGGTGATGGGGAGGTGATGGAGGAGGAGATGATAGGGAGGTGATGATGGATGGGGAGGTGACAGAGGAGGAGGTGATGGAGG